GTTACTATTTTTTTGGATTTATGTGAAGGGGGGTCATTGAATTTTTTTGTGATGCAGGGGGCAGGACATTTTGTTTAGTTGTCAATTGAATTTTGCCAGCCCACCCCCAGTCATAAATAATGAATGGTCTCTAACGATGCGGTATTATTCACAAAATTATTCATTGACATTGATTGAAAATAATTGAATTAGTTAGGTAATTCTTATACTGACAGATCGTATTTATGGTATTTAGTGCTATATATTATACCACCACATCAGCTAAGGCTAAGCTATAAATTTACCATCGTGTTTATAGAAGAAATACTGATACGTTTAGTTTTATTCTTGTTATTACAGCATGATCTCCACCTTTGAATTTACTATATGAGTTTTTTCTTAAACACGTCCGAATTTATCATTATGATAAATTCTTGAAAATCTCCCCACCCCCGCGCGTTTAGTGACATTACATTTATAGCAAAAATCTTGTCTAATGCTTGTGGTTTTATGATTAACTCTATTGATTGATAAATTCAAAATGTGCCGCGAATTTATCATGATAAATTCGGACGTGTTTAAGAATTTACTCGTATAGTAAATTCAAATGGGGAGCTCATGTTGCAACCATTATTAACAGTACTCATGCAGTAACACATTTGCCAAACTTGAGCTTGGTTGCCTTCGCCTCAGTGTGTTGTTATTTTCCTATGTTCTCAAAATTTATATGGAGTGGGCGAATTTCCTAAAGGATGGCGATATTCTTAGGAATATCGCCTCCCCCTTTCGAGAGGGGGGACGAAGTCGTGTGTGTAATTTATGCGTGTGCGAAATAAACGATGCTGCATGTAGTAATTGATCAACTGGTGGTGCCTCCTGGTTCAGAAAACGTTTCTCATCCTTATCCGTGCGATTTCTCCGGGTGCTTCGAGTTCCTCCCACAGTGAAAGTAGACAGGGTGGGGTAAGATGAACACAGCCACTGTAAGAAAATAATATCACAATTGTAATCAGTGGCGTAACGGCACATTGGTTAGGGTTAGTTCAAAAACTAAGGGCCCCCGACAGTTAGGGGCCCCCATCAGTCACGGTCTATCACCCAGAAACACTATTAAAAATGCAGGTGAAGAATCAATGCGAAAATGCATAATTAATGATGCTAAATAATAAAGCCTCCATCGACAACGGCAGCTGAATTTCTTTTATTCCATCTCAAATAAAAGTTATTCTTAAAAGTTTTTGTTGCATGTGTTGTTGCATGTGTTTTGTTGCAAATGTTCAATATAAACATAATATCGCAGTCAAACAATGTCAACAGTCAACAGGGGCCCCCACACCAAATATGCCTAAGAGCCCCCTCTTCCTCCATTACGTACGCCACGGATTGTAATTGTTGCAAAGATAAAATAGTCTAGGCTAACGTTATGTAAGTATATAGGTAGGCGTATAAATACTTGACGTCAAAGCGCATATGACCGATATCTACTTGTAAATTTGCACTGTAGAAATGTTGATCTTGATCTTGAGTTGGTGTAGAATTCGTTCATGCAAGTGCTATATTTGTACAATGTTTTTTGTGTGTGTTTTGATGTTATGTACTCATGTGAATATAATGTTTTTGATGTTACTCTGAGTTACTGAGTACATAACATCAAAACACACACAAAAAATATCATATCATAGAACACATATGTTATGTACTCAGGTGAATATAATGTTTTTGATGTTACTCTGAGTTACTGAGTACATAACATCAAAACACACACAAAAAATATCATATCATAGAACACATTGGTATCGTCGTATCGAAGGTACTAGACTTAGTTCCGAAATACCGCACACTCGAACAGACTTGGCCTCGTAGCTCAGTTGGCAGATCATTGGACTAGCTAGTATCGCAAAGGTCGCGGGTTCGATTCCCACGGTGGTCAGGCTAGCTTTTCAGCCTGCCCGGTGTGGATATACACTCAGAGTAACATCAAAAACAATATATTTGTACAAGTTTCAATGACTTTATTCTTTTCATCTTGCTTCACTTAGAGATTTTAATAAAACTAAAAGAAATATTATGAAGCTTAATTAATATAGCATTTAATTATATTGATGACTCGATTTCAATTTTTTCGGAATACCTTGTCGTGGAGCAACCATGCCAATTGACCAATTACACTACAACGTTTATTTCACACCAATTAACGGAATTGCAGTGCGAAACTTGCGAAACCGGCGGAAATTAATAATATCACCTTTTTCTTCTTGTATAAACATTTTTCCTCCAATAGTTTTTAGTGAATATTTACACAATTTTGATTTTGTTACGATCTTGACATTTTACGATTATAATGGTTTATTCTTGACTTGCAATCAATCCCTCGAGAATTAGAAGACAATGGCACGGCGGCCATGTTGGCGCCAAATTCAACTGAAGTTAATGTAGCTAATAATGAGATTCGTTTGTTGAAAGGGGACCAACATGGCCGTCGCCCACATCATTGCAAGTCAAGAATAGTATGTTTTCTTTAAATTTAGAGTCTTCTAGATAAAATCGTTCCTCTCCTAGTATTTGGTGTCATCTCCATTATTGTATTGTTATATAAACACGGATTGTATGTTGAAAATTTTGTTCGTCGATTCGAGTCAAGTAAGTATATATACAGAAGCATAGCCTATATAGGTTGAAGCATAACTATTATTTATTATATCCACAATAACAATTAATGATACTGATAACCTAAGGCGTTTTAACGCCTTAAAAGGCCTAAGGATAACCGGTTCAAACGAGGATGAGAGTGCATGAGAGTTGGCAGTCACGCAACTTTGATTAATAGCTTAATAACTGTTCTCATGCCTTCCCAACGTTATCATGTGTTCTATTTAAGTTAAACGTACTTGAAACTCTCATCAAACCTTTATTTTGTTAATCTAGAGCTTGAAATATCCCCTGTAACAATGCGTGACTGCCAACTGTCATCAACTCTCATCAACTCTCATCAACTCTCAGCAACTCTCATCAACTCTCATCAACTCTCATCAACTCTCATCAACTCTCATCAACTCTCATCCCTTTTTGACCGGGCCGGGCTTTACATTCATATTCCGTTATTATTTTCAAATGCCAATTTATAATTTTCTCCATGGAGTTATAATCATAACGACACAACATCCCATAAAATTATCTCCTCACAACGCAGACAAGTACATATTTTAGGCTAGTGGTGACAATTTAGGAAGTAAATGTACTTCGTTAGTGTACTTGAGTACTATTTTTGAGAAGTGGGCATATGTAACGAAGTAATTTTTGCCAGCCTGAGTACCTTTACCAGTGTACCTATAATAACGTTATACTTCGTTATTTTCATTTTGTGGAGAAGTATTCGGTCACTTTCCATCAAATTAGTAGGCTTGCCTCGAAAAGTTCCTCAGATGTACTTCCCAAATCTAGAACAAACTATGGTAAATTTTCAATAGGTTTTCAAGGAGCAAAGGTTTGGAATTCTATAGATGAATCATTATAAGACAACTAGTTTTCGGGTATTTAAAAAAAAATATGTTAAATATTGTAAGGGACTATGCTGGAATTAATCCAGTCCTGGAGCTTCAAAAATGTAAATATTTTGCCAATTGGTCCAGACCATAGATATCTTATGGTCCAGACTCGATCGCGGATCATAAATACGTTTTCCGTTAAAGATTTTTCTCATTGACCTTTTTAAACAATTAAGATTGTTTAAGCTTTCCTGGTCATTCAGAATTAAAAACGTGGGAAAGAAGAATTATTCCGGCATAAGCAATTTATAACGCCATGACTGAGCTATTTAATTTTAATTTACTCTAGCGTTTTAATTTACTCGGCTAGCTATACCTGATCTCGGTCCGACAATGATTAGAGTTAATAGAAGAGCTTTTGGTTTAATTAACCCAATCTATTAGGCGAATTTGTTCGCGCGAAGCGGAAAACAAATTTCGGCACTGATTAGCTAGCGAAAAAATTTCGTCGCGGAATTACTATAGAACTATAAATATAGAAACAACTATTTAAAATTCAATTGCATGATCACCTGACATATTATACTTATTAAATTTCAGTCTTTTAACTTTATAATTACTAAACTGCTACATATTTGGCACATGCATTCATCATTCTGTTTGTCATAAAACTACGCCTAAATGTAAAATGTTGTTTTTCTTCAGGATTTCAAGAAAATGGATTTGTTCATGAAAAGGGCAAAAATTATGTAACGGGTACGCATCTTTCAAATTATGTTCAACACTGAGGTTTGCAGAGTAAAATCACCCAAAGGGTGAGGCCTATATAGTGGTAATCAAACGTCGAGTTCATTTCATGTGCCCCCTTTCCTAACCATCAACATTGCCTGTCCGTGCATAGGTGAACTATATTTTGTGGTATTACCTCGTTTAATATCTTTAATCGAAGACTCACATTTTTTATCCTGATTAATTAAATAACTAACATACTAAGCGATTGATTTTGAAGTTCGCGACAGAATATTCAAGCACTGATACGATGGGTCGGCGCCATAACAATATAATGTAGCAGTTGACCATTCATACTTGACAAGCTCCCTTTGTACAACATTATACGTCTTTAGATAGATTGTTCCGTTAAAGAAACAAAAATCATTATATTATTATAATCGTCATTATCATAGGATCCCCCCGCCCCAATTCTGATTCTTCGCCACGCCCTCTGATTTGTTCGTTTACCTGGATGGAGGACAATCAATAAGCTTCGAGTCTAATAAAATGGAATCCTCCATCGCGAGAAATAAATTAAATAATGACAGTTCATATCTACTTTCAACTGAGATAGTTGTTTGTGTATATATTGTTTTTGTGTATAAATCAAAGCTTTCATTTCAAGTATAATACGAGTACAATTTCTATTTAAGGAGTTAAAGACAAGTTAATCCTGAAAGTTTTACAAAGATTAAAGGAACCAATTATTGACACAGGTACACTATATTCTAACGATGTGTGAAGTACCCGTCACTGAAAGCGAGTCGACTTGTCGCTCATGCAGGAAATTGCATTTTGGCGCGAAAAACTACATGACAATATTAATTCAAAACTCGAAAATATTCAAACGTTCCTCAGAATTGATTACGCATAATTATAACGCATAAAGAAATACGGAAAAACTATCGATCATAATGCATGGCGAATTCTTAAATTTGTTTCGCTAAAACTAGGACTTGAGTCGGTAAAATTCGACGCGCTGCAAGAGGGACAAGTCGACTTGACAACCCCCCCCCCGCCCGCTAAAATGTAAAATCCGCACTTTAACCTGAGATCTCAACCGCGCAGCTAAATAATACGAGTCGATTTGTAGCAAGGCTATGTCCCTCCATATGTAGTGAACGAAAAGTCCTCAGATTTATAAGGATTTTTAAACTAATCTTCTTTTTGTCAGATTCTGCGGGGTAAACATTCTTAATTTTCACGAATTTTGCTGTTCTTAAGGCAGTACTATAAAGTGAAAAACTACGTCTACGCACGCAAGTAGCTAGCTAATTTGAATGACGTTTCCTGAATAAAAATGAGCGTGCGAGGAGTAATGGGATTTTCTCGCTCTTCCCATCTCTCCCTGCTCGCTAACGCACCTTCGTGTAAGCCTCTGCGGAGGAGAGAGCGTCTTAAATCCCGCCGTTTGTAAACTTGACTAAAGGAGTACCAAATGTTTTCCCGTACAGAATAGCGTCATCCATGCACGCGGGTAGCAACATCCCAAGTGCATAGATGACGCTATCCTGCATGGAAAACCGTTTGGTAAATGTTTTATAAAATAGCTAGTGTGAAACAACGGTTAACTTTATTAAAACATTAACTATATAATATATAAACGTTATTTAAACGTCATTTAATATACTGTTAACTCCGTACACGTTAAATTGTTTTCAATGTCCGATATTTACATATTTTAAAAAGCCCGCGCGAAGGTATTTAAATTTTCCGTGCAGGATTGTCTGATCCTACACGGGTATTGACAAATCAAATTGCGTGTTTTACTGTAGTTATTATTATAACGCAGTTTGACTTTCCGTAAATGTCTTTCCATATTCACTTTGTTATATTAAATTTAAACTATGAATATACACAACTGGTATATTTTAAGATTCTCTATCGGCAAAAATAAAACTTCCAAAACATTCTTTGACTTTGTTTTGAATAATTAGATAGCCTCATTTGTGATCAGAATTCGTTCTAATCATAAACAGCGGAAAGGGGGAGGCTAGGTCGGCGTTTATATGTTGGAGAATTCATGGAATTGGCCTCCCACCCCCAAATAGAAACTGTCCCACCGCCACTGGTTTTAGTTGCATGCATTCCAAGTTTTCAAGTTATAAACAACAATGGCAATGTTACAAAACAAGTAGCAGGTTACGAAGAACTTAACTAAACGTTGTCCACACCACTTTCGTAAAACGTCTTATTCTATGATCGTCATCGATATCGATCGGGGGATAGAATACGCATCGGGACACAAACCACTAGCGGATACTGTACATGTCCAGGTGATGACTCCTTCACACATGGAATATAACGAATAGAGAGGTTAAGATACTCCGGTTCTGGTTTACGGGTACGGGTATCGCAATTTTGTTTACCAAATTTTCCTGATGTAAGGATATTTACCCGTAGTTTCTACCCGTTTCCCGGCGGTAAACCTTGGTCTACACGTAAAAGACGAACGGGTATTGGTGTGTTTTCTGTCTACTATTTGTAGAGCATTTAAGTAGTGAATATTTCAACATCTTACCAAAAATATCAATGCACATTTGCTCGTCAAATTTTTCCCAAATCTATGGTGAACCTCAGCAACAAAACTACTATTCTCCGATCAGCTTTCGTACTCTAGAATATCTTAGATTTCTCAGGTTGCAAGTTGCATGTATTGCGGAACGTGTTAAATATTAAGGAACTTTCTGAAAAATTGAGGTCGAAAAAGGTCTGAGGAAGTAATTTTAAGCCCCCATTATCCATAACTAGTGTTTGGAAAAGTTTTTGGGAAGTTTTGTTTTCGGAAAAACACCGTCGACCCCCCCCCCCCCCGAATGGAAGGGGCCCAAATTTTTTAATTCACCCCCAAAAAATACCACTCGGGACGGCCCTATTAACTTCTCTATTACGGCCCTGTTTACCTCTCTATTATTGTTCAATCTTGGCCACACAGCCTCGTTTTCTTGATTGAGACATTGGATTTAGAACCTTTCATCTTGTTGCATGCAAGTGACATATTTACGAAATCATACCTTGCAATAGATCATCTAAACTACATTTATATGATTAGGTCATCATGCAGTAACAAGATAAAGGACTCTAAAGCCGAGATCTCAATCACCAGATTCCTGGAAGGGTGTATTCTGGATGGTTTTGCTACTACATCAGTTTAGGAATTTAGGAACTTAGGCTACGTTTACACTATACCGGATTGCCAGGGACGCCGGAGCGAGGGTAGGGCACAGGGGGGGGGGGCAATGTTGACGTAAGGGCAATCACTAATTAATATTTCGTTTCCGAAAATGTTTTCCGGGACCTTAATTCACCAAAACAAGGGCAAAAAATTTTGAAAACACAATTTTTGACACAATATTCCAGAAAATTTCACGTATATTTCAATAGTACGTACATTTCACCCGTAATTCATACTTTTTAATCGTTGTACCTCATATTTTTGGGTTAAAATTTTTATCTATAAGCGCACTTTCGCCCCCCCCTGCCCCTCTTACTAAAGGGCAAGGGGGCGATGCCCTCTGCGCCCCCCCTTTCCGGCGTCCCTGCGGATTGCATTCCGTAGCGGCGTGAAAAAGCACCTATCCGATACGGAATGTACAGCTTTCAGAAGCTGAGCGAAACAACATCATCCGTTGCAATAATTCCTCTGACTGAAATAGCGTTCCTAAAAGGTACGCATATAGGTGTTTTTCACGCCGCTACGGAAAGCTATCTGGTACAAGTGTAAACGTAGTCTTAATTTGCCTTAATTGCTTTCTGGGTGCTGACTTCATAACATACTCGGTATATTTAAATTTTATTTGTGTTAGTATGCGAGCTATCATTTATTTCATGCTTTTCCAAGGGAGAATGTAGCTTCTTGTAGATATCGTTGATTTTTTCATTATACAATTTTGATTTATTGATTTTCCAAACAATTACTTTTAGATATCAATTATATTTTCAAGGGAGATTTGTCAAACAACCTTACTTGGGAATTTGATTTTGGTGAGATTTCCAAACGACGATTTGGACGAAGTTATATTGAACAAACGAGTTATGACCCAAATGCTCGTAGCGGAGATTTCTATAACCCTGTTGGGATTGACAGGGGTGGCCTTGTGTTGTTTGAAGATCATGGGGCTGGTATATTTGAGCGGCTTTTATGGTTCCATAAAACTAATTATGAAACAGATATGGATTATGTTACATTCGAGGTAGGACATTTCTTATATAGTTATCATCGAGTTTCCTTTTCGAGAGTCATATACAATCTCACAACCAGAGAATGCCCGTCCATTGCTTGTCATTGGTTGTTGTCTCTTTCCAAACATGGTCATAGGCGTACGAGAGGAGGGGCAAGCTGGCGGGTAAAGGCCGAAGAATTTTTTATATAATATATATATATATATATATATATATATATATATATATATATATATATATATATATATATATATATAATTGGTTTGGTATTTTTACTTGTTTGTTTCAAGGTTTATAATCTACATATCAACAACAGTCACTTACCTAATATAATTTTATCATTAATTCTGTACAGACCTCAATCACGACTGAATCAGTAAGCTTAAAAGTATATCAATCATAGAAGTTAGTGCCAGAGAGTGCTCAAGCCTAAACGAGCATATATAAAGTTAGATATTTTTCACGTGTTTGTTTCACTAAGGTATACAATCGGTTTAACTTTGCCGGTACCCTCATGTTCGATAAGTATTCCTTCCACTCGCGAGCTCATGCTGATCATAGTGATCGAAGTATGTCCAGGCCTTGTGACCCTGGAAGGAAGAAATACACACATTTCTGATAAAACACTCCTACGCGTGCTTTAAATATATATATAATGCTTGTGGTATTGTTTAACTAAGGCTATGTCTTAATTTTGGAGATTTTCAAACTTAATTAAGCCATATCCTTAATTTTTAAGAGTTTTACAATTAAGACATAGCCTTTATTTTGAGAAGAGATCATGTTCGTCATATATGGACATTGAAAATTTTAATGTGGAAGCACTGCGCGCAGGTGTGGGATAGATTAAAAAAGATCGTCCGGCTCAGAGATTAAGCTAAGGTTATGGCCAGGTTAAGGTTAGACTAGGTTCAGATTAAGATTGGACTTAGGGTTAGCGGTTAGATTTGGGGTTACATTAGGCTTCGAATTAAGGCACTATATTGGATGACTCAGATGATCATCCTTGCCGTGGGTATCGGCTTGATCTGAGACAATGTGACACGGGCGACTGACGGTTTTTAAAAGATAATCCTGCAGCTTTAGAGTGCTCTTGTGTACTCAATATTGAGTGCAGAGATTTAATTTTTTCACAATAATAAAAATTTGGTGTTTAGCTTTAGAATCGAATGACACTTTTTTGTATTATTTTAATTAAGCAAAAGTGACAAAATACACCGATGGAAAATTGTCGGTTGAAATCACATTTTTCCACCTATGTGTATTATTAAAGCAGTGCGTTTTTAAATTAAAATTTATGAATTTTATATCCACATGGGATTCACTTTCAATAGTTTTTCACCCAATCCCCAACGGTGGAAAAATGCGTATTTATGCAATTTGATTATCTTATATTGGACATGGATTACCTTTTTTATACACCCTGTATAATTATTTTAAATGTAATTTTGGCGAAATAAAGTCTACATAATTTGTTATCCATGTAGGCCTACATGGCATATATTGCCATTCTCTATTGTTGCAATTTGGTTTTTTTTAGATTGATGGAAATGAATTGTGTACATTACCAGTAGTGTCGGGAAATAGAACCTATCCATTCCTACTACCATTCATTCGACCAAACGAAGTGGACAATATGGCCGGCTTCTACATTACCTTTCCCATTTCATATGCAAAATCTCTGCGTATTATCATGAGGTGGAGAGAAAGCTCAAACTTGAATGAGGAAAGTGAATGGAATCAATCAAAGAAATGCCATCATGGAGGTTTAAGATGTAATATAATAGCATATTATGCAGTAATAACAAACAAACTGGTTCATGGTGCAAATCTTGAGACTAACTTTAAGAACTATATTTCAAAAAAGTCTACTCATCCAAAAAGTAAATATTTTGAAAGCGTGACAAAAGCTGTCGCAGAAATGGCAAAGTCCCCGGAAAGGTATGGCCCTGGCGTGAGATCAGAATGCAAACTTACTTGTCAAAAGGTTCAACCGGGCAATGAAATCGTAATATACACTGCTCAAAATGCCAAAGTTATTCAATCCTTGCTTTTCCGTCTGTACGATGTACAAAAAGGAAAATTGGCTATTTCGAAAAATTGGAGGAGAGTGCTAATTACAATGAGATGGGATGGAAAAGATCCACAGGTAAACGAAATTCCACTAGCCGGACTTTTTATTACTGGACTTGATTTCATTCGCGAAGTTAAAGGTTTAACCACTGGATTCAGGGATATGACGTGTGATGTGCAGGGTGAACGTGCGTCAGACGTAACACCAAATGAATGGACGGCTTATTTATTTTATGAAATGCCTTTCTGGGAGGCCGCAAAAATTACTGTTAGGATTCCAAATGGTTGTGAATCTGCAATAATTTGTTCTCAAATTTCTACAAAGGAATTAAATATTGAAAAGTATCACCCTCGTCTAACCGGTTATTTTAACGCGCAGTTACGTCAACAAGGATTTGATTATCTTCACCATAAAACCATTCTACATCTGGAAAAGCAGTGGGGGCATGTAGTTGGCATTAACTTTTTCCTGCGAAATGATAAGATCGCAAGTACACACGAACTTGACATGATTATTGAGACAGATGAGGCCAATGTGCCAGTGTTTTCAGGAACAGGACTGGAAGATTTCTTTCACTTCATACACGACTTTAAATCTAACAAAAACAGGACTGCACCATTTAATGGTGCTCCTTTTTACTACAGAAAAGGCCGCTTCCGAATCTTACGATGTTACCGTCATAACATCTTGGATCCAATCTTGTTCACCACTGGTATTCGTATTTATCTTGAATCAAAGTTTAATCGCGGGGAAAATCCCACTCTTCGAAATTTTTTAAAAACGACAACGTCGTTTAATCAAACCATTTTACCGGATTCACTTTTTACTGTAGTGTTATACTATGGAGGAAAGGGATCAGGCGGAACAATAACAGATAAAGTGGAATACCATAAAATAAATAAAAGTTTATCAGCTCGGATTCAGTTTAATCCACCAAATGTAGATAGTTTTCATATCCGCAGTAATTTTGAGAATCAGCCAGGGATCTTTTTTGACAGAATTGTCGTTTCCATGGAACCTGGACAGCGAGTGGCACACACATTCAAGGTTTATAGCGATAACGTTGGTGTTATTCTCCGCAGAGAATATCGCACAGTTGTACCGAACCAGAAAGCTGAAGTAACAGTTGATGGAGAAGACGCAGGGTTATGGTTTTGCCCTCAGAGAGCCATGTCTGAAGATTTTTCATTGCGTCTTAATGATTACCTTCTTCCTCCAGAGAAAACTGCGGGAAAAGAGTCAATAGAAGTGACGCTAATAGCTTTAACGCGATGGGAAACAGTCTCTATACAAGTACTTTCTGTCATACTATCAAACTGATAAGTCGCGCATGCTCTTCACCACTACAAATTAAAATTGGTTATAATTGAAGTGAAATCATGTTCGTCAAGCGTGTATATATGAATTGTAACTGTAGTACTTTAACGGCAAGATCTATCTCTTAGGCTTTTTGTGTTTAACGAAAAAAAATAGTGCTTGACCACGAAAATTTAAGACAATGTTATAACTGCTAGTATTTTAACTAGAAGATAGTTACTGTACTCTGTAGCTTTTGACTTTTGTGTGCAGCGACAACTTAAAACAAGAAAAAGTTTTAAAATATCTTTTGATTGATGAAAGTCGTAAATAGTTTTAATACCATTTCCCCCAGGTAATTCCAGCTATCAGTTCATAAAACCATAGTAGGTTATTACTCTCTTTAAATCGAGGTCAAAATACGAAATTTCCGCCCACTCCTTACAGGTTTGTGTTAACCGCGCCGACAAAAACAGTAGACAAGAGACTGGAACTGAGGTCCAATTGAATCATCTCAATCTGGCCTGAGCCATCGTTGGCTCTTTGGCCGACTGCTCGTACACCTGTCTGTTCAAGGTTAGGTTCGTTTTATCCACAAAAACGCCGAGATTCACATTCAGTATGTACTAAGTTTCCGTTGTTAAGTTTTAAATACTATTGGTGTTATCTTTCTTGTTATACGTTGCGTCTTGCATTCCGTTTCGTTAAAATTGAGACCAGACTCTTCAGACCACGTTTCTAAATGTTTGAGATCGTTTTGAAGCTCAGCGAACAGTTTCAAAACGATCTCACACATTTAGAAAAGCATTAGATTAAAAAGCACGCTTTGGGCCATACTATCCAACGGTAGTTGACGCATTTCGCCCAAAATCGATCATTACGACGTCCCGTTTACCACTGATTTTCGTAACAATGCATATGGCTATCCAAAAAACTGTGAAAAAACGTAACCCCGACTTTTCCGTCGTAAAGTGGTACATAGCCATAGCGCCATGCGCCAATACAGCCTGGTCTAATAGCCCTCTGGAATGAGTCAAACCTACGGTGCAAATTCACGTATATAGCAGTGAGCCAAAATGGCAGAAATTAAAAAGCTATTGGACGTCAGTTCCAGTCGCTTTCTATTGTTTTTGTTGCATGCCATATATATGGCATGCAACTTTCATATAGCTCTAAATTTCGTGTAGTTGTGAGTGGTGAGCGTAAATCGCGGTGAGGGTAAATCACGTGGCAGATTCGTAAAATGCGACAAATACCGAGTTTTTCCGACGAGCATTTTCATGTGATGTGAACATGGGCGTACCGGAAGGAAAAAATTAGGGGGGCGGAAAGAAAATTGCCCGACTTTTCGGGATTCTGCCCGACTAGTACCAAAAAATTTTTTCCGGAAAAATTATTTTGGCGACCCCCCCGTCGCCAAAAAAATTTCGGTCAGTGTACCATTTTAGGGGTCAAAAAAATTTTCCGGACAACCAATATTTTTCGGAACAGAACACAAATTTTCGAAAAATTGCAGAATTTGCCAAAAAATTGACTTCATTTTAGACATAATTAGGAGAATTTGTCCCATTTTTTTTTTGGCAAACCAAAATTGCCCGACTGTTGATCGAATATTGCCCGACTGCCCAAAAAACTGGGGGGGCTACGGCCCCCCCCCCCCGCCCGGTACGCATATGGATGTGAATCATTCCTGGAGTCGTCAATAGACAATTCATGCAGCTATCTGATAGTTTATCTGGACAAGAAAGACGAAATATATCATTATAGCTCAAAAGAGCATCATGGGTTGCGAAATGTTGTAAAATACGGAAAATATAGCCCTTGAAATTAGCAAATTTTGAGTATTTTTATAGTATTACGCGCGGTAAAAATAAGGTCAAAATTTCCGAACATTCGTCACTTTCCACGAAGGTGGGGGGTGGGGGTGCCCCCCCCCCCACCCCCACCCCCCGCCCCCCCGAGATTTCCGCCACTGAGGAAAGGCAAAGAAAAATATATTGATTGTTCGCCGAAAATCTACATAATTGAGCGCCTTAGAAAAATAGATCTATAGACTATAGGTTAGGTAAAGCTTTGCTGTTTTTAATTTACCTTAATTGCTGCGGCGGAGCGAGCGTAGCAGCAGCCTAATGTGTGCAGAGAGGGAGTTTTGAACTAAATTTTATTTAGCGCATGGAATTGTGGTCGTGCGCGCTTGCTATGCGCAGAATACAAATTTTAAACTCGTTCAGTTCCATGTGCTTTTCGATTTTGACGGACAGAGACTTCGAATTTTTATCGAATTTCCAAAGCTTTTTCAAGTCTAATGTTACGTTTACATTTGTTTACTCCTTTTTGGAAAGTTGGCAATCTCAATTTATATATCTATGAAACGCTGAAAGCACACAATCGCGATCGCAGCTAGATTCAGTGGCTGCAGTTTATATACAAACTATATATTCTGCTAATGTGCTATCGACTTTGCTTGAGCTGTATAAAGCATGGAAGTCTTACATAGAGAAGTCTTTAAAAAGATTTTCAGTTCTATCCATTCGTGTTTGCTTTCTCTTGCTGATTTCCGGCATATTTTGCATTAAATGATGTTTCGTGCTGATTTCCATATTTTGCATTAAATAATTTAATGTTTCGTGTATACGTGGAAGGACAAATATTGAAAGGCCTTCTGCAGTCCGGCTTCCGATCTTTGTTCAGTTTAATTAGGCACAAGTTTTCAAAACGATTCGGTGTTCTAATTTTCGTTCTTTTTGCATCGATTCGTGCGTTGTTCACTCAATGGACTTTGGCCACTGTCATGCAGTCATCTATATTTTTATAAAGTCTTAGTGTAATAAATCTGTATATAGTCTATATAATGTGGTAATTGCGCCTAGCAGTAAACAGACTTGATATGAAATCTGATAGCAAAAACTTGTGTTATATGAGGATGTTCAAAATAGATTAGATTCTTTGTTTTCTCAGGCTACCACATGTGAAAGATCAGCTGAGTGTTGATGCACTGGTAAATATAAATTTCTCAGAAATATTGCGCACTACATCTACGACTGTATTAAATATAAAGAAACAAAAGAACACGATCAATAAAAACATTAAAAACAAAACTAAATTGCCATAATCTAAAAAGGAATTTGAGTAATATAGGTAAACTACTCTCAAAAGATCCTAATAATATTTTTATTCGTCATTCATTCTTTGCAAAAAGAAAGTTACGCAAAGTTATGCAACTATATATACCGTAAAAATGTTTCAAAATGTTAAAAACATTGAGTTTGGTGATCTTGAATTATACTTAATTGATTTTCCTAGTTAGTTTTTCAATTAAAAGAGCTGAAATGCTCCTTAAAAACCATCGTTCAAAAGGCTGGACTGTGCCTTTAAGAAACAATTTTATAATTCCTTAATGAATAAAATTGAAATGTTATCTGATAACAACCCCAAAGTCAAAGAATTCTGGAAATTAGTTAATGATATAAAAACACGTAACATGTACGTCAAACGAAATATCATCATCAGAATGGTTTGATTATTTTAAAAACTTGAACAAAATAGATTTTTATACCGAAAAGTCTAGCACTGAAGCTCAGTTAGTGAAGGATTTCGACATCTGGGCAACCTGCAAAGACGACACCCTTGATAATCCAATCACAATTGAGGAATTACATAAATTATCAAAGAAATTAAAAAACAAAAAAGCGAATGCAGGTAATTCACTGTCCAATGAGATCATTAAGGTAGCGGTTGAAGTTCTGCCATCTTATTTCGTAAAATTGTTTAATACTGTTTTGCCCAACGGTGTTTTTCCATCACAATGTCAATGGTCGAACGGTTTTATCATAGGCGTAATTTTTCCGGAAAAAATTTTTTGGTACTAGTCCGGGCAGAATCCCGAAAAGTCGGGCAATTTTCTTTCCGCCCCCATAATTTTTTCCTTCCGGTACGCCCATGGGTTTTATTGTTCCAAAACATAAATCAGGAAGTACAATGGATCCCAGTAACTATACAGAGGAATAAGTATAGGTAGTTGTTTGGGAAAATTCTTTACCTTAATTATGAATACACGTTTGAATAAATTTTTAGAAGTGAACAAAACTAATGCGGAATAAATGTCAGATTGGTGTTCGGAAGAAATTGTAGAACAAGTGCATGACCACTTGCAACCTCGTTCCCAGGCTCTTTGCTCTTGGGAAGCAAAGACCCTGGTCGGAGCTGGTCACGCGAACCCCCAGATTTTGGGGGTAAATTGAATTTGACCTCAGGGAGGGGTAGTAGAGGAGACACGTGAATCGTGAAACGGCTTTTTTTTTCGTTGTGAAACGTGATCCATACCCCCCTTTCCCACCCTCAAGTAAGAGTTTACAAAAACTTGAAAATAAACTTCGGCTGTGAAAGGTATCTTTATTTAGTCCAGAATAACAGAATTTCAAATATCGTCAAGCTGTTACAAAACTAAGGATCTCAGCACATATAGATTGAGAGCCTGTTCGCAGGCTAATAGATTACCTGTTGAAACCAGTGGTTGAAACAACCTCGTACCCAGGATCTTTCTTTGGGAAAGACCCTGGCTGCGGCTGGTCACGTGCCTCATCAAAAATTTAGCGCCCGAGGGGGTGTGGGGAAAGTATCAAATTACATAACATGCTTCCAGTTGGATATTCGTTAAAAACATAAATTTTGCGAATTATTACATTCAAAATACTTGCTAATTTTTGTTTATTTTCTTTGCTTTGAATTTACAAGAACATTCTTACATTCTTACTTACAGTCAAATCAAAGAAACCAAGCAAATCGTTACTCGCAGTGCTCGAGTCTCGTGTTGTTACTCAATGCATGCTCTCTTCACACTCGAGCGCGGTTTAGTAACAAACGTTTATTGTAATGTTTTTAAAATACGCCATTACATTCGTCCTTTCTTGTAAACGTTGATACGCTTGGCACCGATTCATTTGTTACTACGTTTACGCGTCTTGTTTATAAGATTTTTAAAAGAAACAGTATTGTCTAGGACTGGCCCAATATTAGCAAATGTAAACATTTGATATAAATAGCTGAACAGAGAAATGTCCATAAGCATATAGGAAATTTCAGTCATTGATTTACATGGATTTAGTACATAATTCGTATTCGGTAATTATAGTAAGATTTAGCCTTTTTGTTGGTCTCTATTAATCATTATATTGTGCCAACATACTATAATCTATATCACAAATTTACAGTGTCAGATGCGCACAGACAGTCATTGGCGTCATACGAACAGACATAAATTTTCGAGTTTTCTACTTCTACTAACATTTTTAAAGTTTTTATTGTGAATGACCTGTTTATCTCTAATTCATTAATCATTTGCTACTTTTAATATATTTATTTGATAGTGCCATATAGTGAATAATGCGTTTGCACACAAGCAATCCTGGATATGATATAGACGATGCAAGCTGTCCATTAAAAAATAACGGTATTCTATTTCACAAAGCAAAAATTTAAATCTCACTTGTATTATTAAGAATGCATATAAGCAAAAAATAAAAGCTTATTCATGTCAAATAAACGAAAGCTGTTTACAAAATTTATAAAGGTGGTGAACACTACTAAACAGTGCTCATATTTGAAAGACATGTATAATATATAGTGACATATAATTTGTCGTTTGACTTATCTTTGGTGTATGATTTTAATTTTAATACCGTAGATTTTCAACAGACAGCTATACTTTGACATATACCACGTCCATGATCGTTGGTTTCAGCAATGCAAAGGGCTTTAAGTTTTTTTTTGATAAGGTCTTTATATAGATCAACAATCTGGATACAGTTGGCGATATTTGATATTTCGGAAATCAAAAGATCTCGCTATTTCGTTGCAATTCCACATCTCATCAATAAATAAATTCTTTTGGTCCGAGTATCAGGATAGACTTTAATACTAAATAAATAACAACCACACTGTTCGGTCTGGAGATACATATTTTCCTGTAGGTTTTATATATATAATAATATTGCCACGCTGCACAAGCGGCAAGCCGCCGCAAGCGTGATTTCTTTGGCAAGTCTATATTAAATGAAATCTGATCCAACTTGCTTGAATTGTAACTCGACACCAGATTATAGAGTAGAACGTCACGATATAAATATTAATTTAAGAGTTGTCTTTACGATTTCTTGTTGCAAATTTACAGTACATTTCATCACCCACAGTTGCAATTTTAAAACGCTACAAACACGCTCCTTTCCCACCCCTCTCACAGTTACAATTAAATTTACCTCCCAGAATCTGGGAGGCACGTGACCAGCCGCAGCCAGGGTCTCTCCCAGATGACAGACGGAGAGACCCTGGGAACGAGGTTGTGGTTGAAACTGGTCGATATAACAATGTTATACGAGAACATGCAGTCTCTCGGCCAGCGGTGTCGCAACACGTGTGGAAAATTTTTAAATTTGAAAACTTCTTTTGAAAATTTGTTGCATCATATTGGTTTCAGAGTAAAATCATGTTTTATTGTAAATATGGGAATCTAAACTTTTCATGAAACAGAAGTTACGTGGATTTTCAAGTCATGTTTGTACTTCATCTTTGTCGACGAAGTAGGCAAAAGTTGAGGTTGAAATGTGCTTGGGTAAGTGCACCAAAATTTATTGAATTTGAACATGATTTTTAGCATATTAAATTTCTAAAACAAAAAAAATACTGGTATGCCAAGCAACAAGCCGATTTATTCATATACCGATATTCTGAATACCAAATATTAGTGTACTGAATGTTATTAGTGGTATACCAAAGCAATCCAATCTGTGCAAGTTACATTTAACAATGTATACATGCAGCATTCATATTATTAGGGGCTGTTTTATATATGGAGGTGAATCAGGGAGCCAACTTGCTTTTCCAAGCTAATTTCATGTTTACATGAGACTTCAGGATGTCCTGCCAAAACAAACCACTGGTCCCACCGCTAAAAATATAGTATGACATAAATATATTTTCGCATGAACCTAAAATTCGCACTTTTGCGAGCAACTTTCTTGGTTACATAACCTACAGAATTGTTGACAGAGACCTTTTAAGATTGAGAAATCTGTTGAGAAAATCTTATTTACAACAATATATTCTCATGAACAGAGCAATAACACTCAGCCCGCTTAGGTGAGCTAGCCCCATTACACAAAATGAAATTTAGTACGAAATAATAACAAAGGTGGGATCAGAGTCACCTAAACCTGCATGGCCAGCTAGGGTACCTTAGACAATAATATTCTGCCAGCCTGGAAAATATTTACAGAAATTATGTTTTCATGCCACCTTGGCATGTACTCATTGAATTTCTGTCTATCTGGTGTACAAAATAAAATGTCAAAAAATACTTGCTGGCATTATATAACCTTCAGTGTATGTTTTTATGGCTGGCCAGCATATTAAACTTTGACATATTTATTCAGAACGAACTTTCTGGTATAGATAACCAGAAACCTTGACAGCACCCAAAGCCCATCCCAACCTAGCCTGTGTAGCAGACAGTTTTTTGGGGAGGACTTGCAGGCGGGAAAATTAGGGCATGATCTATCAGTCATTGAGGGCAAGACTTGAGGATCAGGACGTCAGGAGTCACAATTTTATTACAATAAGAATGACGAATTTGTTCGACAATCAACATATGGATTCCGAGAAATTCAAAATTAATTCTAAACACTTCTATCTCATCTGTAAACGCAATATCAAACGCGAGCGTGCTTACAATTAATACTATGTCCAATTTGTATGAAATACACAATGTCAACGGTAACTCCAAATAAAGACAACATTTTTGATTTTCCAGGCTGCTCTAAATCTTACATAGGAAAGACCGACAGATGCCTTCACACAAGACTCAATGAACATGCAACAACTGACAAATCTGAGATTTACAAACACATCAACGCTTGCAAACACTTCAGTGACACCTACATCACCAACCTAATGAAACTTAACATCGACGATTCTAACACAAACGAACGGTTTGACCTAACACTATTCCTTCTCCACAACTCCATCATCTTGGACAAGGCAAAACACTGGTCTGAGTGTTATTATTCAAAGAAGTACTTGCCATTCACAGGCAGAAACCAGATCGACTATTGGTTTTCTACTAGTATACAAGTCATTTAATTACAAACTATTGGTATATGGCATTACTATGTAGTAACATTATCCATTCCTGATAGGGTCTTAGCTAGGATTTTAGATCTTGGGCGTGTTTCGAAATGACCAGGGTGTGCACATGCCATTTACCTTGAATAGCCAAATTCACGGTTCCAGTTATGCTCACCAACAACAGACATTAATGCCTGTGGTTGTTCTATGCTTTGCAACCAAATACAAGGCGAGCATACGGTTCCCATTACCCATCAAAACATTAAAGCACCACGGATCAGTTTTGCCAATTTCAACAACTAAATAGGAAGAAATTCTGTCTGTTGTAAGCAGTAACACCTTATTTTATGAACCTACACAGCCTTATATAAATAATGCGGAAGCCGTGTTTATTTTATCTAGCCGTGTTTTCCCAGTTCTCCCGCCCTAATTTTTCCACCTGCAAGTCCTCCCCCCAAAATTGTCTGCTAAGTAGGCTAATCCCAACCCCTTATCCTAAAACTAGGCTGGGGCGGTTCTTGAAAAAACCCGAAAAACTGTCACGAAAAAACCGAAAACCCGTTTTTTATCTACCGGTATAAATAACACACAGAGTCTGACATAAAACCGTGTAGCACATGTTTTTGTTATGACTATGTGAAGAATTTTAGTTTTAGATGCTTAATATCATGATCAAAAACTTATAGAGGACCTGGTATAAAAATACAAGTAAGAAGACAATGTTAAAAGAATGTATTTACAAGTTTTCAGCTAGGATTAGCTGAAACATTAGCAATTTTATCTCGTTTTTCCCCGGTTCTTTGCCTTTTTCCGGTTTTTCGGTGCTTGGACTTTGGCAAAACCGAAATACCATTTTTTAAAAAACCCCGATATTTTCCGGTATACCGAAAACCCGCCCCAGCCTACGGCTAACACCTTGCATGATTAACAATTACAATTTCATCTATAATTTTAACCCCCTTCCCCCCTAACAATGTTGGTTGAGTTAAGTATATAAACCACAAGGTGATCTGATTGATAACATATAGTCATGTTAGGGAAAGCTAAAACTAACTTGCTGACCTGTTAGTGTGATGTTAATTATTAAGAGAAAAGTGATTGATAAAAGAAAATGTGTGCTAATCACGTCTCTCTTATTAAATACCACCAGCACGTGTCTTAAGTGAAAGGAAAATGTATGCTAAATCCAGTGACCAATTAGAAGAATGAAAATCATGGCTGCCAAAGTTAGGGACTATTATTATTAGCTAGTCTGAACAACTAAACTCATTATTCAAAGTACAGTAACTGTACGCTTCAAAACTTCAAAAACATACATATAATGTACATAGTATTACATACATTATTTAGTTCACTCTCCATCGCAGCTTTTCAGTGACTGATTACTGTATGTCAAGCATTGCATAAGTTTAATTAAGATTCTGGAGTAACAGAACAACTCCAAAAATCTTGTGGAAGTGACAGAGCAAGCTATTTCGGTGCTGTTGAGGGTAAATTCAACAAAACAAGCCACAAATAACAAGTCACAAATATTAAGGACCTCGGTATCACTGTTTCCAGTAATCTTTCTTGGTCAAAGCACATCGAAGTCACTGCAGCGAAAGCCAACAAAACTCTTGGACTCATCAAAAGAATCTGCAGAGACATAAATGACTGCGCCACAAGAAGACTACTGTACTGCTCTCTCGTTAGGCCTAAGTTGGAATACGCTAGTAATGTGTGGTCACCTAGCACTGTCAAACACCGGTCATTAATCGAGAATATTCAGCGACGAGCGACTAAGTTTATCTTGAACTATCCCAAAAATATGTCCTATCAAGGAAGACTGATAAAAACAAACCTCCTTCCACTCGAATGCCGCAGAGAAATCTTGGACTTGCAATTGTTTTACAAATCTAAAAACAGGCTCATACCTATGGATGTGAATAATCATTTACGTACCTATGATCCAGACTATTCACCACGTCATTACGACGAAAACAATTTCTATTTTATTACCAAACATAAGCAGGACTACTTCAGGAATTCGTTTTTTGTAAGGTCAGCAAATCTGTGGAACAGCCTCTCATCACAACTTAAGAGTTGTACATCAATATCTGTATTCAGTTCCAGACTACGTAAAATGTATAACGACTGCTATTTTACAGCCCTCCTGGCTGGTCTTAACTTTATAATATCCTATGGTTTCCTATTCATGTAATGCGTTTGGTCGATGTATATTCATTTATTAGGAGTTAGGTGTCAATTGGTACGCAAGTCCTGTTCCTCTCTCCAGTCACACCTATGCTGTATTTTTTTTTGCATGTTCTATACTAGTGTCAGTAATCAATCTTGTTTGTATGTAAACGAATTGTGACAAATTAAATTAAATTAAATTATTATTGGGGGAGCCAACCTAGAGGTTCTCCTGATTTCAAAGCCTCAGAACTGCATTTTCTGTCTTTCTTGAGAGGACTTTTTATGAAACCGCCCTCCCCTGCCCCCTCCTAGTGTCCACCACTGTGAAGTAGCAAAAGCAAACCAACATGATCGTAACAGCTGTGGTGCATGACCGCTATAAATTGGACACCTCTCTGACAAGACCGGATTTTAGTGGAAATAGTGGGGGAGGTGGAAAAAAATTTAGGGGAGGTGCAGCGGTTTAGCTCACGACCCCAATTGGAAAGTTAGGGCTTACAACGGCCCAAAGTCAACGACGTGACGTATGCAATGTAGTGTACATATATGATTATATGTATCAATTTATTAAATTAATGAAATATGACTGTACAACTCATCCATGCAATTTCGCCCTTCATTACAATTACTACAAAGCTTCTTTCAAAACATTGCATTAAAAGGGTACTTAATACTGAGATGAACGGCTATCACTGTTTCAATTTTACAGAAAAAACTTTCTTACGAAGTGTAAACCCTAGCCAACCAAACAATGTCAAATTTTCCCTTTGATCTATCATTGACACTTTCCCAAGGGGAGGTTCATGACTTTTCAGGGAAGGTTCAAAAATTCTTAGTGGAGGTGCAAAACGATCTCAAGGGAGGTGTGCTCCTCCCCACACCTCCCCTCAAAATACGGCCATGCTCTCTGATACAGGTATTTTGCTTTCTCCCTGGTGGCGGAGTACAACCTAAAACATTATACATTAACCCACAAAGTACAGCATACAGTACACATTTTCGACAAACCATTCAGAAAACGTCAATGGGTCATTTCAGAAAACATTCACGCGGGAACTGAAATCAGTGGAAGCTAAAATTGGTTCAAGAAACCCTTTTGATGATTGATAATAGTGATGTTTTTGATTTTTCCCGAAATAAGAGTTCAAAGCTTCAAAGAGAGTCAACTGAATTGGAGAAACATCAGAAGCTATTTCTCTGTACTGTGTGGCTTTTTGTTATATACAGTACACTTAAACCATAAATCGGCCGACTCAGCTCGTAGCATGTGCGCCAACGCTCTACTAGAGACCTTACGATTTAAGGACGGCAACGCGACGACGACGGCCAGAACAAACGTCTTCAAATAAAGGTTGTAAACTAGATAATTCGTCGTATATTATCAATCGTATGAGTTTAGTACAGTCTTAGAAGTTGAAGACATGGGTTTTATGGTTGGGAAGAGTTCTGCTGAACCCAGTTTGAAGTTGCACTTGTTGCGGCTTGAAATGCAGCCGTTGTATCAAGACTTGAAAATCTGTGATTTGGCGTTGTAAACAGAGCGAAGGACAATGTCTAAATTATTCATATATTGTAATTATTCAATTCTTTTCAATGATTTATTGTATTGGTAGCCGTTGCCGTCCTAAATCGTAAGGTCTCTAGAGATTAACACTCCGTGTACGCGCTAATGTGGCACAACACCAGACACTTGCATGCACAGACATGCGTGAAGTGCCATAGGGCCAGATCGAGTGCTTAATATAATTTAATAATATATTTTTATACAGGTCCCCAGACCTTGGGTGTGTGCATTTTCAACTGATTCTACAAAGGTAATTTCCGTAGTTAAAATTCTGTGATGATCCACACTAAATTTTTAGTTTAAAAGGTTGTTCATATACTGTAGATTGAGGGGTGAGGTTCCAATTTTAAGTTCCACGTTTCTCTTTTTTATAATTATAGCATTAAATATACCGGTAATACAAAGTGCTACATGCCATTATGGATTGCCAACCTGATCCCCCAGTTCATTATTTTCATTTCCCCTGAAATTTATTGCTCAGAGGCTGAGCGCAACTCTGTACCCAGCGTAATTTTTATTGCATAGTTATTCATGCTCACGTGACTTTCCAGACAATTTATTTTGAGGGAGGCAATGCTTGCAAATAACTGAATAAGTACAAAAGGTGTTGATTATAGTCCAGGACTTACTGCAGGAGAGCTGTCAAAGTTCTGTCAACTGAAGTCATGGGTATCATAAAGCGTTGGGGGCCTCTGCTTGCAGCCATAATGTCATCAAGCCACAGTAAACCAGGGGTTGGTTTTTCGAAAGCCCATTAGCTTAACCCTAGGTTAACCTAAAATTCAGCTAGAGCAAACTGCCCAACAGCTTGTTTATAAATTTGGAAATATTTCTTCAGAAATCTTGTTTGGATCAACTGAAATTTTATTTTCTGAATTTTTGAGATAAACAGACGTGCAGGAATACACAACCAAGACAGCAGGTTAAATTTTAACCCAGGGTTAGAGCTAATCCACCTTTGAACAACCGGCCCCAGGCTAATTCCATACGGATAGTACCCTGAGTATATGAGGTTGGGCAACCTGCTGCCATTGATGGCTTACTTGCAATGGGCAATATCCTTGTTTAGAATATTGGCAGGAATAGGCTTAGCGGCTGCTATTACTACATAATCCAAAAATGCACTCAAAAAATGTTTTTAGTCTTTAGCTATAACATTTAAATATTTCCTAATCTATTTTTTACAGTATTTAATGTAATTATTATATATATTTTATTGTGTTGTATTGTAGTGTAGATGAAGAGCCACTCTGTGAATATACTGATAATAAGTCGTTATTATTATTACTCTGGTTAAAATTTTCCTGCTTCCAGAACGTTCTGGTTACATTAACCAGACCTAGTATGGTAGGAAGTAATATTAAGTTACCCCAAATAGGGTAACCAGGAGAATTTTAACCATGCAGAGTGTTTTTAGAGTGTGTCTGTATTATATACAGTAGGCCACTTGACTTTCAAATGAGTTTAGAGCAAATTTCTTTTCATGATCCTTGCAATTTTGATTGAGCCAAAAACAATCAAATTTCCTTATACTTTTGATATTTTGATAATTGTGTTATTTACATGCATGCATTCGTCAATTTAGCTGGACTAATTGGACTTTAAAAATCATAACGTATATATGACTTATGAAAATATTATTGTTAGGGTGATGTTGACAGAATTCGCAATATTGGAATTTCTGCTCACATTGACTCTGGGAAAACTACATTGACTGAAAGAGTGCTGTTTTATACTGGAAGGATAAAGACAATGCATGAGGTAATGTTCCTAATACTGTTATTAATGTTTCATCTTTGCCCGAGACACGATTTGGGTTATGCAGCATGCATGCATTGAAGCTCATCGTCTGGGCTAACTGCCGGGACTATGATTTTACGCAGAATAAAATACTGTATAGTTAGTGCATCGTTCTCTTAAGCGTTTCCTTTCCTTTTATCTGCACATTGTAGAGACATTTTTCATAAAGATGGGGGGTGGGGGGTGGGCGGTGGGTTGGAATGTACTTTTTCCGTTTAATACGCAGATAAACGCCGATCGATAAACGCACCCTGCAATTACGATTTTGTCCAAAAGAGATCCATTAGGGGGTAATGAAACTTGTGGGTCATTGTGCTCGACTGAACTTTGATTACATATATACAGAAGCTTAATTGTGTTCATTATATGAGGCAAGAATAATAATAGATTTTGAATCAAAGGGTTTACAAATGTTTTTTTATTTGAAAACCTTGTAGGTTAAAGGGAAGGATAATGTTGGAGCTACAATGGACTCTATGGATCTAGAACGACAGAGGGGAATTACAATTCAGGTACTCTATACTTTATAGAAGTGATTGTTAACATCATCAGTGTCTTATCCCTTGGAGAGGAAAGACCTTTTGGTATAGGAACTGGTCACGTGATCTGCTAACGTTTTAACAGAATTTTAACTACACACGCAAAAATCTCACATCTTGTGGCAAGTCTGCCAACAACTCGTCGCACTGCTTGTCCCAAGTTGTCAACAAGTATGGAACAAGCTGATAAAACTTGTAACAACCTTGTTGATATTATCAGCCTTGTTGCAAGATTGTTCCAACAAGTCCGATACAGTTATGATACAGTGTAACAATATTGTTACAACCTTTTGTCGTCAACTTTGTAACATTCTTAAAAATCATGACTGTATCAGACTTGTTACAAATTATTAACAGCTTGTTCTGAACTTGTTACAACAACTCAGTGGGTTGTTACTTGTTAATATGTAAATCGTAGTAGTTGACTTTTGCCATGTGTTTGGTTTTAGCAGATTACGTGACCAGCTCCCACCAGGGTCTTTTGTCTCTTTTGTCCATGCATAGAACTGAATGAATGAAATCTGTCAGATCTTGGAGTAGGAAATAAATATTATATTTTGTGTATTCATTCGAATTAACAATAGCGTTCCAGGGTATTCCAATAGAATTTGGAATAGGAGGCATTTTGAAAGAAGTAAGCGGCTATGTGATGCCGAAGGTGTCACTCACCTAGGGGCGTGGATGTGTGATCCATCCGAGGGCGTCTCTGTGAAGATTCTGAATTTAAAAGCTGAACTGGCATTTCCAGTCATTTTGGAGAGTGGGGTTTTGGAAGTTTTGTCATTTTATCCAAATATTTAACAAAGACTATTGTGTAACATTTATGTTAGAAAAGCAAAAAACATTTCCCCTGACGTTTCTGCGGTAAGGAGGAAATATTTTGGTTTGTAATATCGAGAAATAACCAGCGATTGTCTATAGGCTATAGACGGCGAAAATCGCCTGGTGTTGGCTTCTACTGGCCGGAAACCTGAGCGTTCATTTAGTAGCATGTAAGAATTTTACTGTCGTTCCAATTGAAGTGTTGCTCAAATATTGATTCAATACATTACCTCGGGCTGACCATTTCATTTCATCAAGTTCCTCGAGATATTCATACACTTCCTAGTATAATTGTAAACTTCCTGTTGAATAGTTTGAATGCACCAATCACCTTTGTTGTTTGTGCAACTAACCAATCATAAATAGAAAGGAAGTGACCAGAAATTATCAAATACTTGGAATTGGCTCTTTCACAGGAAGTGTATGAATATCTCGAGGAACTTGATCAAATGAATTGGTCAGCCCGAGGTAATGTATTGAATCAATATTTGAGCAACACTTCAATTGGAACGACAGTAAGTAGTACGAGAGTTTAATTAAACGTCTTGATGGTTGTAGAAAGTATAAAAAGTGTAAAATAGTCAATGTAAACAATTAATGTATAGCTGAGCGTGGAATATGTTAATTTTTAATTTTACAGTCTGCTGCTACTTTTGCTGAATGGAAAAACCACAATATTAATATCATTGATACACCAGGTAAGGCGGTTTTATATTAAATTCCAACTTGCAATCTTGCATAAAGCTTACAATAGGGCTGCTAACCCTTCTGATCTTTATTTATGAAATAATTTTAATTATCTATTTCTTTATATATCTTGATTATAATCTTGTTCGTCGTAAGCATGGATATACCTTTTATTTTATTTTCATTCTTTGATTTTAAAAATACAGTAGTTTAAAACTTCTGCTTTAAAAATACAGTAGTTCTGAAGCCTATATACTTCTTTGGATATCTTTATATTTAATGACATGACAGGCATTCTTTCTCCAGACACTATAGTCTGTATTTCGGTAGCGATCATAGTAAGTAGAAGTATGGTTTTCCGTATCTCCTTTTACCATTACATAAGACGTTGCACTATATGGAACTACGAACAGTGCTTCCACAACTGCTTGTTCAAAAATCCTTTTACAATCTCCAAAATTCCTTTTTTCCCACAAAATTTCCTTGCCACCCAAACGGTGGAAAAAGTAAAAAAAATTCAGGCAAATTTGAGGCAAATATATCATAGACCCTACGAGAAATCGAACATCATTACATTGCCTGAAAATTTGGGCAAGCTTTCAAGAGTTCCCTCCATGAAAGTATCTGCTCCACATATATGTTTATGTTCATCCAGGGGCATAAGGTGCTTGATAATGGTGGAGGGATTGAATGGCAGAAGGCGCTGAACGGCAAATTTTGAAATTTATAGTCCCTAGATCGCCGGAAATGGCATTTTCAGATTCTTCTGTACCTCTTTTGTTAGACCTATACTATTTATAAGTTGATTTTTACTGGTTTAAGACTTGTAACTGGTATAAGTTACAGAAATCCTTGCAATGTCCTTTAATTTTTGTCTTTTTCCTTGTCATTTCCTTGTAAATTTTATTTCCTTGTAAATTCCTTGCAAGGACCAATATTTCCTTGTTGCAGGGAAAAATCCTTGTAAGTGGAAGCACTGACTACGAATCTATTTCAGGAATGGATCTACAGGGGGTGCGCAGTTGAATATATCATGGTTAAATATGTAAACAGTCGAGGTTGTTATACAGCCATATTTTCAAATATGCTGTACTTTAACAAGCACATTTACTTTACTGTACTGTGCTACAGCAACTGTCCAGTCACGTGATAAAAAGCCGATATAAACTTTATAATATAAAACGTAACAGAATGGCGAACATGCAGATTCGGCCATCTCAAATAATGGTAATATTGGGATAGTAGCGTTGCAGACTGCAGAGGAGAGTGGGCAGTAAAGGCTGCATTCCAGTTGCGCGTTTTTCATACGTGCGTACACGCACGTAAAAGTTGAATTCGCTTTACATCCTACTTATGAAATAACTAAATTTATAAAAGGACAGCATTCAGTTTTGTGTATGATTTAATGTGTATTTGTTAAGGTTATTTGCACTTATATGAAATTTTATTTTAAGCGAATTCAACTTTTGCGTGCGTATGAAAAACGCGTAACTGGAATGCAGCCTTGAGGCTCCCTCATGCACCGCCCCATGGAAAACCTGCACCCCTCCTTACAGATCTGGCTAGATCCGCCCCTGGTCTATTTTACACAAGTTACAAGTATATATGCAATGTCATTCCAATAATTTTCTGGTGTTATTTTACTTGATAAGACATGTTTGTTTGGTGTCTTAACTAGTTTACAATAACAATACTGTAATATATTCCTTAAACAACTTTAAGTAATAATTTAAGAACTGTTTGTTTTTATTTAAAGGACATGTTGATTTCACTGTTGAGGTGGAAAGAGCTCTTCGTGTTCTTGATGGAGCTGTGTTAGTTTTGTGTGGAGTTGGAGGGGTTCAGGTTGGTAATGTACATTGAGAGATCAACCACTCAACAACAGGTCTACGAGATGAAATTTATACAATTAAAATATAGTTGCTGCTTTTACCTTATACCTATATAAAGCACTCGTTTTCGAACCCTGCAGAATAACACTTGATTGAGCATTTTAACGCCGTACAAGTGCTGTTTTTTTTATAAAGTGTTATGTATCGATCAATTCGAAACTTCACCATCCCTCCCCCGGGAATTTGAACTTTTTGAAATTTGACTGATCAAATTCTCCACCCCCTGTGTAAAAAATGTCTTCAAATGCCCCACTGTAACAAGAAATTAAGCGTTCAAATAAATGCCCGCCTTCATATGAAAATTATGAAACAGTAAATACAAAAAGTACAAAATATACGGAAATGTTTTTCGACAAGATAGCGAAATTCACGTAAAAAGTTTGGATACCTTGTGGAACTTTAACAGTTTTACACAATTATGTAGTCCATACCTTCATATGAAGCACATAGATTTTCCATGCCCGTTTCTTTGAGCCAGTTTTTCACAAAATTGAGGCCGTTTCCGGTTTCCCTCGAAATCTGAGAAAAACTGTATTTGCCGCCAATGCGAAGTATTTTCTGTGCATGCAGAAAGCACGCGAAAACGGGCAAAATTTTAAGACTTCCGGTTCAAATTCCCCACCCCGTTATCAAATGCCCCACCACATGGAAGACCTAAAACGTCAAATTCCCTACTCCCTGGAGAAGACTTGAAGTCAAATTCCCGGGGTATGCCCGGGGGGGGGGGATGGTGAAGTTCCGAATTGATCGATACATTATAATATAATGAACTATGTTGTTTTTCTTTCAAAATCCTAGAGTCAAACATTGACGGTTAACAGACAAATGAAAAGATACAGTGTGCCATGCATTGCTTTCATTAATAAACTTGACAGGTAAATAGTAACACTGTACATAATATATATGTACTGTACATTATACATGTATTGTTCTTCTATGTCTAGTAGACTTGATGTCCCTAGGCTAGTAGACTTACTGTAATGTTCCAATAAATAGAAATAATCTAGAAGACTTAATGTTCCAATATGTAGAAATTAACTTCGAGACAAGAGAAAGTCGACAGTTTTTTAATAAAAATACAAAACCGCGAAGACAAGGACAGGCCCGAATCAAATGTCATTCATATACGACTTACGTGCGCTATTCCAAAGTTGATGACGAAACTGAGACCCAGTGTTAAAGAGTAACAAAATGAAGAATGGGGTTTAAAATAGCTGTCGGCTATCGCCTGCATTTTCACACGGCTAGTCGGTAATTTTATATCAGAAACAGCGAGTTTTTCTCATCCATTGATCTGTACGATGAATTTATAGGTTTGTAATTGAAAAGATTCTGTCTTGACACAAAAGATCGTATTAAGCATTTTTTATTATTTTTGCGAGCAATGAAGTAGGCGGGACTCGTAATCTTGTGATGAAAATTAATACCCAGAATACTACAACGAAGACAGCCAGTGTTTGAGAAATCGAAATTCGACCTGTGTCCTTGGTATCAAAATGGCCTGCAGTCTTTGTACATAGTGGGGTATTTTCCGCATATTCGAGATCACATGTTCGTGATAATCATGATCAGGCTTTGTGAAAAGTCGCAGGTACAACAAAGGTACAATCAGGAACATGTACCAAACACTGAAACAGCCTACAAATATAACTAAGTTCGAAATTTTTGTTTTAAACCCTGAATAATAAACTCAATATTCATACTGTATTTATCCTAATGTCGAACTGTGTAATCCTACTACAGTGTAATCTTGAGCAGCTATTTAATTCCAGTGGTATAAGTGTTGTTACTTTTGAACATTCAGTCCCAGTCTCCTCGTTATCGTTGCGTGTTTTTTTCTTACCTGCATGTGTTCTACAACAGTTCGTATGAACGATCTTACGTGGGGACGTAGAGATCATCTGCGAGCTTGGCTGCAATTCCGTCCTGTTCGCAATCTCCCAGTACAGCACATTAATTCTGATCCTGCATGGCTGTGGTGTTCCCATCGCGCAGCGTGTTTAAGCTTGTAGTTGTACCCTACAACCGCAATATTTCACTGATCTCTGCGATCTTGGTAATTGGTGGAATACACTCGTTAAATCAGTTACGATGATATCATATCCTCGTGTTTTCTGCTACTAGATGTTTTCCGTGGATATTGTAAGCTTGCAATGCTCAAATGCATTGTATTGAATTAAGATCTATTATTTTCAATTTAAAGGATGGGTGCAAGTCATAATAAAGTTCTGAGTCAAATGAGGTACAGTGTACGTGTTAGTTATCGAGAAAGAAGTAAAACTGAATGTCAGGTCAAGTGTGCAACTGGTACTCAGTGTGAGTACAGTGCGCCAACTACCTTAAATTGAAACCAAATGAAACCATTTCAAATAATTTGAAACATTTTCAAGGCTGTTTATTGAATATTTGAGCAATTACATAGCCTACCTCACTCCGGTTCTGTCGTCAGAGTATATATAGACAATCCAAACAATGCGAAAAGCGATTTTCAAAGTTGTAACTTTGACATTCTACACATGCACACAGTGATAAAAAGTCGCATTTCGCGGTGGTTACACTCTCAGACGTGAGAGAGCCATTACCCCAAAAATGGCTAATATTTTTTTGGGCAGGATTATAGCAAGGTTGAGGTTGCCGAATATATACAAAGCAGATTATTCCCTACGCAATGTTTTCATTGTTCACCTCGATCGTTTCACAATGATTCCAAATATGTGTCTGGGAAACCTTGGTTTCAGTATATATCGCAAAGTGCAGTTTGGAAACGAACTGAGGGATAGCTGAGATTATCGAGGATAGATGAGGGAGGATAGATGAGGGATAGATGAGATTGTATCTTAAACAGCACTTCATTTGTTTATCACATTTTAGAGCAAAGTTAAATCACAATGCGGCATTTGTGCAGTTACCAGTCGGTTTAGAGCGAGAACACCAAGGAGTTGTGGATATCATCAGAAGAAAAGCTTTATACTTTGATGGAGAATTTGGGTAAGAATTATGATACAAGTTTAAAATTCAGCTTGCCCCGTGTGGATGCACACTCAGAGTAACATCACAAACATCATATTCACCTTCACGCGCTGGTGTCTATCGGAAAGGGTATTTTTTATAACTCCTTTGACGAATTTAGTAGGGTAACCATTGCGTACAAACAATTGTGTGACTTGCTTCAATGATTATGACGTCACTAAAATTGGGTGGGATAACTCACATGTCTAGTTACTGCTGTTTTGCTAATGTAAGCATAGAGTTTGGGTAACAAACCGCGCAGTAAAAGAGGATGACTACAATAGAAGTGATATAGTGAAGTAAATAGTACTGCATGAATACTGATAAACGATATTACTGTGTTTTAACTTCTCTAAATTCACTCATTCGCTTGTTGCCGTCAACTGTCCTCATGCAGTTTGCCACCCAAAAATGGCAGACAAGTTCGCATGGTCGCATGGCTTGAGAAAGCCTGGGGCCGGTTGTGTAAAAAAGTGATTGAAGTTAACTGTGATTAAGTGCAAACGTCATCCAATAAGAAGTGCCTATTTGAGAGTTAATCAAGAATCACTATTTAACTACAAAATAGTGATTAAAAAAGTGATTAAGAGTTTTATACAACCGGCCCCTGGTAATTATATACCAGTAATTATATACTAGCGTGATTCAAACGGCGTACAAAATATGTTATTGACAAAGTTGGGGCGCATTCGCCAGCGAAATCTAAATAAAATTCAAAACAAATAAGTCTATTTTTATACAAGATGGCTAATCTAATAAATCTAATACTAGAACAAACTTTGAAAAGTTGAATTATAGGTTTGGCACATGAGTGGTGCGGCGTATGAATCAATGTCGCTCCAACGTCGCACAATGCGACAATCTGCCGAACTTGTCTCGAACTTTTGTCGCTCCAAATTCTGCCGTACTTAAGTTCGGCACGTGAAATGTACGCCGTCTGTATCATTCTGTAATTTGCTGAAAGGCCTGCTGATATGCAACATGATACCGAAATTTAAATAATTACTACTCATGTATAGAATATAATTGCAGGTAATATCCTGTATACTTATAGGAACGATATAAGGGAAGAGGTTATTCCTGAAGATATGGTAAAAGAAGTTAATATTAGGCGAGAGGAATTGATTGGTAAGTATAATGCACTAGTCAATGTAAACCCCCGCCCCCCCCCCCCAACCGGGGAGTGGCGGGGATTTTGACTTAGAGGGGTAGTAAAAGAGCGAAATTGTCCCCGCCCCAATTAATCAATGTCCCCGCATGTCTCTCAACCCCGGGAAAATAGTTTTGTATATTTCATAGTTCAGCAATAGAAAATCAAATTCAGCTTTCGTCCCCGCATCGTCTACCGAAATAGAAAATGTCGTTCAAGTCCCCCATCATCGGGGACATATTTACAATCACAACTGACCATTTTCCTCACTAAATCCCCCACCCCTCCCCGGTTGGGGGGGGGGGATTTACATTGACTGGTGCATAATTATTTCTTGATGTCAAATTCCATTAAGACTGGACGTTCTGTTACCTTGTACTATAAGGAAATGAATGTGGATTCCCAACTTGAACTGCATTTGTTTACGTAAATTTTGTTTCAATGTATACACATTCTAATTTGACAATTTACTGTCGAATTGGTAAGGTGCAGTTTAAGATAGAAGTTGTCCTTTTTTAGAGACTGTTGCGAATGTGGATGATGGTTTAGGTGAATTATTTCTTGAAGAAATCCAACCAACTGATGATCAGTTGATGGTGAGTTGATGAGAAAATGGGTGATGAGAGAATGGGCGGGTTAGGATAAACTCAGTTAAGAAAGTAATATCATGACAATTGTTGTAAAGATAAAATAGTCTAAGCGCATTTCATCATATCCACATGTAAATTTGCGCTATAGAAATGCTAATCGTAATCGTAATCGTAAAATAAGCAATTGAATACTTTAAGTTTGAAAATATTTTTACCGTAATCAAAGTTATTTCTTCATTTCCACATTTTAGCAGTGCTTCCACAACCGCTCGTTCAAAAATCCATTCACAATCTCCAAAATTCCTTTTCCCCCACAAATTTCCTTGCCACCCAAACGGTGGAAAAATCAAGAAAAGTCAGGCAAATTTGAGGCAAATGTATCATATTATTCATGTAGACCTTACGAGAAATCGAGCATGGTTTATGGCATAGGCTAGGTCATTACATTGCCTGAAAATTTGGGCAAGCTTTCAAGAGTCCCCTTCACAAAAGTATCTGCTCTACATATATGTTTATGTTCATCCAGGGGCGTAGGGTGTAACTGTTTGATAATTGTGGAAGGGTCAAATGGCAGAAGGCGCTGAACGATTCTCATATTCTTCTGTACCTCTTTCGTTAGGCCTACACTATTTATAAGTTTATTTTTACTGGTTTAAGTGGTTTTATAAATCCTTGCAATTTCCTTTAATTTTAGTATTTTTCCTTGCCATTTCCTTATAATACTCATTTCCTTGCAAGGACCAATATTTTCTTTCTGCAGGGAAAAGTCCTTGCAAGTGGAAGCACTGCATTTTAGTTCATACTTTTGACAGTCTCGTTATTCTTAATCCAATTCCTTATTCTTGATCCATTTATCCATTTATCCTTAGTGGAAAGACTATTTCCTAGTAAAAGCAGGTTGATTTTCCGGGAAACGTTTTTCCTTATGGACTTATTCCCTAGTGAACAAAATTTTGATCTAGACAAGTCTAGACAACAATTTCACCACAGCTTGAAAGAGCATCACAACATTAGTAATATTCCGACGTTTCGTGGCGAAATGTTGTAAAATGCGGATAATATAGCCCTGCGGAGTTTGCCGTTTTTCAGTCATTTTGTATTATGCTCTTTCAAGCTGTGATGAAATTTTTATCTAGACTTGTCTAGATCAAAATTTTGTTCATTAGGGAATAGGTCCATTTCATTGCCATTGGGTAACTTGTATGAAAGCGCACTGTTCGCTTGCATGCTTTCGGTTATTAAATTGATTCGATTTTTAGGCTGCCATTCGACGGGCGACCATAAAAAGATTGTTCACACCTGTTTTCGTTGGTTCTGCTCTGAAGAATAAAGGTGTACAAGTAAGTTACTTTTAAATACTTGCATTGTTGAAAAGATAATTTTTATAGTTTAGCGAGCAAAGTTTCCATTCGAGTTATTTGCAGAAAAATGTGTGTGCCCCACAACGTAAGTAGAAACAAGTTTCAAATTTACAAACAATGGTGTGACCCCTAATATTTCTAGCCCTTTGCAGGCATGCATTTTTTGTTACATCCAAGGTACCGTATACTGTACGTTGCACGTATAAAACATCCCATCACCAACCGATGCTTCTAAATTATATGGGTAGTATATGAAAAGGGAATTCGGGCCAGTTGAGACACCATCGAAACGTCACCGAGCGGAGCGAGGTGCATGGGCCGGTACCCCATTTTCATATACTACTCATATCATATATGCTAGTATGTAGATACGGCAGTGTTATATTTAATAAAATTTGAACAAGAGTTCTCAGTAAAGCTTTCCTTTTAGCCTTTACTGGATGCAGTTCTAGATTATTTGCCGAGTCCCCTTGATGCGGAGAATTTTGCTCTAAATGCAGAAGAGTGAGTACAATTCTGTAACATAATACAGCACTTATTTTCAACACAGTTATGTTTTCCTTATAATATAAAGCCATGTACATACACTAAAATACAGTAAATGTGTTGATTTATTTAGTGCAGAGAACAAAATCTTGATGGATTCTTCTGCTGACAGTTCAAGTCCTTTTGTTGGCTTAGCATTTAAACTAGAGGTAAAGAAAATTACTGATTTACAATCCAGGCCAAAATTCATGTGGACACTTTATCCACTTTGCAAAAATCATAACAAACAGCTAAAACCAATCTTGAACCCTGAACCTGCAATCCTCTGTGGAGGCTTTCTGAGGCTCTGGGAAACACCAGCAAAAATCGGGCTCTGATTGGTTGTTTTTCAACTGTTCGTACCCATTTCTTTAAATTGATTCCGTGCTAATTATTATTCAAACTGTGAGTCTATTTAGTGATTCAAACATATTTTAATTTGTAATATAAAGTTTATTTCTGTTTATGTATTATGTTTAAACATATCAATGAAACACACAGTATAACTTTAATAAACTTACTAAGTTGTTTCCTTCGCTTCTCATATAAAATCAATAGACTTTTCTGATATTATACCGATAACACACCAATAAACCAACACCATATATACAAGGTCATGATAAGCCGTTGCTTGTAATATTTATTATTATTATTTATTTAAAAATTCCTGTTTTCTGATTGCCTAACAGCCAACTGTGGAATTGTCATATCAACTCAATGGCTAACCAAATACGGATTTTTCACATTTATATTAGCAAAATGACGTCAAAGAGTCAATATGAAAAAAATTTGGACGCGTTTGCGCCATATTACTATGACGATGAGAATCATATTGACTCGCTGACGCCATTGATATGACGGAATGACGGCTGCCGAAGGACTAAGGAATTGTTTTTTTCTTAATACAAATAAAATACAAATGTTTGTTTTGAATTTTTTAAATAAATAATAAAACAATTATTGAATTCGGTTTTCGCACAATATGAAGAATTATCAAGCCCTCAGTTTGCCGTTATCAACCTCAGCCTTCGGCTTCGGTTGATAACGGCAAACTTCGGACTTGATAATTCTTCATATCGTGCTCAACCTCATTCAATAATTGTTAAATATCAAAATCGGCATTACTCTCAAAGCTAGCAACACAACAATCCATGATTTACCGTAATTAAACAAGTTAAATAAATCACTACCAGTATCTTATCATGTATCATGGCAAGTGTTCTTTGAAGAATTAAAGTCGTAATAAGCTTGAACAACGGCATAATTCATGTTTGACGGCAGCAATGTCTATTTATAAATGTCGAGCGGAGTACTGGATCCAAATGTACTGATGTTCCTGCAAAATTCGCTGGTTTTTCCCAGAGCCTCAGCAAGCCTCCACAGAGGATTGCAGGCTCAGGGTTCGAGATTGAGCTAAAACAAGATTTTACACACATATCGCCCACTCCCCCCCCCTCATTGTTGCATATCCACATTATCTACACTTGTTATTTTATGAAAAATTCTATTCAACATTGACTTGGGGAGAGGGGGATATTTATTTAGAGAATGCATGCATTCGAGGCCAATGTCGGTGGGTTGTCCACAACATTTTGGCCAGGATTGTACATATAACCAAAAGCGCTAAAGCAGAAATTTCAGGGGCCATTTAAATTCCTCTGTTCGTAATTGCACTCATTTATTTTTATTTTTATCCATAATCAATAAGGTCAGTATTAAAGTATTTTTTACCGTCAAAAATACTGGAAGTATGATAAAACACCATTTTGTGAAGGGTTTTTGTCCATATGATGTAACAGTCTGTGTCATGGTTGGGTAAAATTTTACTTCCAATTAAGCGCAGTTGCATATTTTGTGATGAAACAAGGTGTCCCAAAAAATGCCTACGTTAGCTTTAATATTCAGTTTTTTAAATACTAGATTTAATAACAAACATTTGGCCTATCGAAGTAACTAATTGTTTGCCTTCTAGACCAATATTCCGACTTGTCCAAATTCCGGACATTAGGATAAAATTAATTATTATAAAATAAATAAAATTAAAAGGGATCATCAAAGAAAATGGCCATCTGTCTGCTCGTAGGCTGATGATTTGTGTTCTCTAATATCACGATTCCGTTGAATGTAACATTGACGAAACTGAAGCAGATGCAAGAGCAAATACTAGAAAATGCCATGAAAATGCTGTTTTTGGACAAAAATTATGGAAAACAGCAAATTCAGGGTAATTCCCATCCCTAATTCCTATACAGTCTGTATAAAAACCTAAATCTTGTATGAAACGTAGTAATAACACAAAATATGGTGGGAAGAGGAAGCATTTTTTGGGGCATGCACCCTGCACAGCCAACGTATGACATCATATTATGTCGTGCATACATGTAATATGTATTATGCATTTAATTACTTTTTATTATACAGTATGTACAACTAAACAGAAATGAAGGAGCATTGAGAAAAAACACACGTGTGTAATGTTATAGTATTTCAAATGCTGTATATTTGTCACAAAACGGTTGTACTCTAGTATTTTTATCTTCTTAGGCTGGCAAATATGGTCAGTTGACTTACGTAAGGGTGTACCAAGGTGTTCTGAGAAAAGGAACATTCATTTTAAACACAAGAACAGGAAAACGTGTTCGAGTTCCGAGGATTGTGAGAATGCATAGTGACGTCATGGAGGTATTTGAATTGTGGACTTAAACCATCACAACGCCATTCCATCTCTTCCTGTGTCTGCTGCAATAGAAAATGCTTTTTTGCCCATCAGGTCTAATGAGTATGTAATTATTTCGAAATCATCATTTTCTATCCGTAATGTTACTTGATTTCGTCAGAAAGAGATTTCATATTTTCTTAATAATAATAATAATAATAATAATAATAATAATAATAATAATAATAATAATAATTCTCTAAAACTTACACGGTTTGTCATGGGATTCTAAGTATTCCAGCATTTGTGATGAGCATAACATACATAGTTTTGCCTATTTCAATAAAGTATCAGGCCGTTCGAGGTTCCTTCGCGCGCACACTTAGTATTCAGTGTATCACTATCAGCAATAGATCCACCCCTGCTTGAGGAGATCCACAAATATTCATTATAAACTGCAGCGTTAAAACATCCAACAAATTGTTGAAATACTTTCTTCATCCTGAATATGAATTGTTGGTGAATTGTTGTAGGATGTGAGTGAAGTAAAGGCAGGTGATATATGTGCGTTATTTGGAGTGGACTGTGCTTCTGGGGATACTTTTACAGCTGATGGAGCAACGAAAGTTTCAATGGTATAAATATGTCGTGTACTGTATATCTATGTATTCAGCCCAGTGAACTCCATATATATCTGGAGCGAGAACTTGAGTCCAAAAAGTGAAGCCAAGATGGCGGAAAGTATTGAATTGACTCTTTTGGCAATTTACTTTTGATTCTTTTTGCCATTAATGTTGTTGTCTACACCGATGCCCTCAAATCCCACCAAGTATTTATAGACATTCACACTGGCATCTTCGCCAGCCATGATAACCTGACCTTATACAACGCAAACATGTAAAAACACCTTTATCAACCAATGTTAATGTTTTTTTAGGAGCCGATATTTGTTCCTGATCCTGTTATATCTCTTGCTGTGGAGGCTCGAAATAAGGTGTGTTCATTGTGCGCCCATCCGCACCTTGACGTCATCAAGTCAGTCGATTAGCCTATCAAGTAAAGGTGTATGGGCCTATAGTTGTATTTTTCGCAACTGCTCCTGGTTAGGGCCAAAAAAAAAGTGGGTTTCCGGTTTCTTCTTATTAAAAACTTAGGTAGAGTAGGTCGGTTTTAACTTTTTTTTTTAACTTTTTTTTTAATTTTCCTAACAACCGGACGCCATTTTGTTTAGTCAGTGCTTCCACATCCAAAGATAAATTTCCCTAATATTGCCTCAAATTTCAATTTTCCACAAACTTTTTCCACTAAGTGGAAACACTTACAAGCATGATCCAATAAAAAACTTTAGGGTCGTATTTCGACGTCCAAAAGCTAGATAGGGTTGGGAAACCGGAAACCCACATATTTTTTTTTGCCTAGGTCTAAAATTGTATAAAATTCACACTCGAAATTTCCATCTACAAAATCCTTCTACAATGTCAAGTAAAGGCCCTAGGTTTAAACTGACTCGTACCATGCCACCTCGTTTTGCAAACCTAGTAGGTAATGTCTGCATCTCATAATTATCTGCAACGTTGTTGAGAAATAGTTGGCAAGGAATCAGCACAAGAAAAAAGTTTGAATACTGAAAGCGATCATCATTTTCATTCTTGCCTGTGTGTTTGATCTTTTTAAGAAACAGAAAATGCATTGTGTGACTATATACCATAGGCTTAATCATATATTAAGTTTTTCAAAAAAATGTTCTCACTTGAAAATTATTTCTCTTATACCTATTTGCATGACGAAATGATAGGGAATTCTGGCTGATTGAGAGACATTGATTCTGATTAACTATTGTACTGCAGTTCAATAGGAGTGGGGACTAGGAATGAATTTGCGGAAAATATACATCCCCAGGAGACGACGGAACAAGGATGTCAAAATGCTGGTTCAACGGAGTGTGTCGATTTCCAGTTTTTAGTGCAGAGTTTCTTTGAAACTGTGCACTATTGTGATGAGTGGCGAAAATTCACATCTGTCATACATCAGATATCATAGAGTAAACTTTCCGGGGGGTGTATACGATTTATCGTCGTGGTGATTTATTCTACTTAGTCAGTGCTTTGAAAGTTATTTAGGCAATTTCAGTTGTCTTATTTAAATACTTATTTTGTCCTTTTGCCAAGTTCGCAAAAATTTCCAGGAATTGTTGTTATTGCAAATTTTTGTCAATTTTATAACATTTGCTTCTCCGTGTTGTGTGAAAGATCTTTCCCCCGGAACACCCATTTTTTCTTTAGCAGCGCAAATGCGCATGTGCTATCAAGCTGTAGATCACGATGGCGTGACGAATGACGATGCTAGGGAGGAGCGACACTGCCGAACAGTGTTGTTTTCAAATTATAAACATTTTTATAAACGTGAATATCGAGTAAATCTTTGAGAATCTACGCAATATATAAATTGATGTTATGACTTATGCATTATGGGACATTCAATTAAGTACCGATATTATTTTGACGGTATATTCAATTTCAATATACAAAGCTAGGAAGCAGCGAGACAGTGTTGTTTTGTCTTTTGAAATGTATGAACATTTCAGGCATGAATATTGAGAAAATCTTTGAGATTCTACGCAATATATAAATTGATTTTTTGCATTACGGGCATTCTATTAAGTGCCGACGGTATATTCATTATACAGAGCTAGGAAGCAGCGAGACCGTGTTTTCAAATGTATAAACATTTCAGACATAAATATTGAGAAAATCTTTGTTTACGTGTATAGCACAACGGTGCAAACTCGTGTTCAGTGCAACGAAAACTCTACCAGATCTTACGAGAATCTATCTGTATCAAAGCTTGTCAAAACTGCTATATAAACACTGCAATAACTGTGAAACTATTGAAATCTAAAGTTACATTATTGAATACATGCGAAAAGCTGAAAATGACTCATGAAACAACAACGTGACCTTCGAAATATATCAAAGGTCAATAAATGAGACTTGTTATTGTGAACACGTCATAATTAGATTAAAATGCGGAAAGCGGATGCGGATTCACGGAACGGATATGGGGATAAAATGCGGATGAAATGCGTCATTTTAATGAGTTTTTCGCCTCTTATTTACGTTTCTATGTTTTAGATTTATGTTCCTTTTTTGTAATGGAATACAACGTCCTAGTGCTTATTATTCATAACATATCTTATACAGCTATTTTCTCAAGTTGTCACTGAGACAAAAGCCAAAGTGTACAATATGGGCGCTAAAAGGATGGTGGGAATAATCACAGATTTAAACAAGTCACCTAGGTTGCCGGCGACCCTATATAGTGTCGTTTTCAATTGGAAACTTTACAACATTATAACAGAAATTATGCCTTGTGACTAATATTATATGAGGAAATAAATAATATTACATAACTCTCGTCATTCTTTAATCTTAAAGTATTAGATTTAAACCAGATCTTAGCATTTTTACTGTTGTAACAGTCACGCGCGCTACTACTGTACGTCATATCGACATGTGATTAAAGCTATAAACCACGCTTGAAAAACTATTCAATTAATAAGTATGTCAATATAGCGTTCGTCTTTGAAACTCTGCACTATCCTTGGATCCCTAGTTCTTTCAATAATTTCTTAATAATATCTTTTTAAACACTTGAACATAATTAACACAGTAAATATTCTCGTCTCTTCATGGTGCCATGCTACCCAAACAATCGATGTCGCCCGCGCAAGTGAAAGTTAAGAATTTATCAAATCGCACTCATCCCAGTCATGGTTCAATTTTGGCACAATTTTCAGCCCCCTTTCTTCTGTTGATTTTTAATTGAACTCGACATCACATGATTACCCTTTACGTATTATAGAACGACCTGGACGCATTCTCCAAAGCGATCAACAGATTTACAAAAGAAGATCCAACTTTCAGAGTACATTTTGACGACGAGAGTAAGGAGGTATAGTATAGCATAGTCAATAGAATAAGAAGTTTAGGGAACTCAATGTAGACATAATAGCCCTCATTAGTCATTATCTAAGTTTTTGTCTTGGTTTATGCAAGAAATGGTCGATTCATCGTCACATGTGTATTGTATTTTCGCTAGAGCAACCAATAGCTATGTTTTCATATAACCATTGTGTAATATCACGACTGGGTAATTAAACCAACACACTACTGTTGGTTGGTTGGTTGGGATGAAAAAACAATACACACGTGACGATGAACCGACTATTTTTACTGCCTAAACCAAGACAAAAGCATAGATAATGAGGTCTATTATGTCTGTATCGAGTTTCCTAACCTTCTTATTTTATTTACTATGGTAGTACATATCAATGTCTTGGATAGTGATGGATACTATTAACTGATGCCAATCTTATGCTGTCATCTTACTATGTTTAAGATCGTTTAAACTATGATTACACTAGTTTTTGTGCCTCTATCTAGACCATCATATCAGGCATGGGTGAGCTACACTTGGAGATATATACAGAGGTGAAGAGTGAATCATTTGATTATACGAATAAGTAGCATGCAAGTACGATTAATTTGATAATATAGAGAAGTCCAGATTTGAATTTCGCTAAAGCTACCATTGACCAATCAGATGCGTTTAATCTACCCGATTAACCAATCAAATGCCAGTGGGAGGTAGTGGTTATTGAAGTCAAATCTGAACCTCTCTATTATATTGTCGTCACCGTAAGACATTTGTGATGTGTTCTTTGGCAATCATGAATCCACAAAGAGTCCATATTTTTTAATAATATCGTCAAATTATATGAATTTGTCAATATACACCTACAGTATAACACCAAAAACACAGCATTATAATACCGCTCACAGTAATTCGTATAATTTTCTATAAATATTGTTTTAGAGAATGAAAACAGAATATAACTGTCCTGTGATTTCTGGCAAACCAAAAGTAGCTTTCAGAGAGACTATTGGCAGTTCTATTGAGTAAGTATTGGGAAAATATTTATTTGATGAAAATTGCTGTTGTTGGAGTCGCCAATCTCTAAAAGATAAATTGTTGCAGTGGCATCAACTTGGCAACCTAATAATACCTCATTTCCTTATTCAATGCTTTTCAGTTATTATGCATGACGGTTGTTATTAACAAATAGATTACATTTTTCCGTTGTCTGTACAGTTATAGATACTTATGTGATGTCATAACATGGTAAGAACAAAAAGGTGACTCACGAGCCAGCGTCATCCATGCGTCTGTCGTTTAATAGACCATGGCTCTCAAGTGTTCTAACCATGAATGAAAAGGCAAATTATTATGTAAACATAAATAGACATTATATTAATAAAATTACAGCTGCACGACTATCGAGAACTAAAATGACTTCTGTAAAGGGTTGTTTTCTCTTGTGTTTATATGAGAAAATTTCATCCTACAATTTTGTTGTTTGACTGTTGTTAAAAATAGCTCGCGGCGGCATCTTTGAACTTTCATCCCCGCAACTGGGCCAGCCCGCTTGTGAGTGTTTATATGAAGAAATTTTCATCCCGGTGTAAGCGAGATATCGCCTCTTTCAAGGGAGATCTCAGCAACCGGGCCAGGTCGCTTGTCCATATAAACGCACGGTAATTTTTACGAAAAAAATAACAAGGATTCTGTCGGATGGATTCTCGACATCTCTTCCATTCTTTCCCAGCCTAATACCAAATTTCTCATATCTGACGCCACAAAAAGAGACAAGTTTTAATTAGTTTTATTTTGCTTTTATCAGGTTTGATTACATCCACAAGAAGCAAAGTGGAGGCTCTGGGCAATATGGACGTGTGATTGGAAAAGTTGAGGTAATATTTTTCGCTTATGACACGAAAGTGAACTCGACATTGCAGAACTTGACCGCACAACAACTCCAATCCTTTGGACAGTACAAAAAAAAGCTCGAATAGTTTACCCAGAACTTGTAGTGTCGTGGCCACCACGCTTGTCTTTCAAGTTGGGAGACACGGGTTCAATGCTTGGTTGCACCTCTACCCAAGGTCTTAAATCAGGGTTCGTAGCGGTCTTTCAAATCCTTGAAAGTCTTTAAATTTGAATGCAGGTTTTTAAGGTCTTTGAATTGTGTGAAAAAGCGAAGAAAGTCTTTAAAAGTCTTTAAATTCTTTAGTGAATATTTGATTATACGATTTCCTAGCTAATAAAATAGATTGATTGAAGCAAGATTTTCGCAAATATCGACGAAAAGGCGCATTTTAGGATGTGATTTGACGGGACTAATTATCGGGTAAAAATCGTACTTACACTTGCAATTTTTCGACAGCTGTTTGCTCTCAAAGGTCTTCGAAAAGTCTTTCAAAATAGGCAGAAAAAAATCTTTGAAAGTCTTTGGATTTTTTTGGTCTTGGAGACTACGAACCCTGTAAATAGTTGAGGAGAAAGTGCCACCTTTACATTGACATCAGTAAATGGTTAGACTTTCGCGTCTTCTTGGATAAGGACGTTAAAATTGTAGCTACCTCTGGGGGAAATCCGCTCTTCCTGTTGGGAAATCCGCTCACCAACGAGTGAGAAACTCAATAAACAATAAACCCTATGCATAACAAGAGCTCGAAATAGCGACCTTTTATCAAATAAAGATGTTCTTTCGTCAAATCAACCGGGAGACTCTTTCTTCTCTTATACATAGCTAGCACCGCTATGTATAGATGCATGGGTGCCACATCTCTGGCCACTTTTTGACCACTTCTACGTCGTTCCAAGGCTTTTCTCTTAAATGTTGAGGGAAGATGTAAGATTTGGTTTTTCCAAGGAGGTATAGTAGAATAAAGTAAAGAGATTGAGAACGATGTCTGTACCACCTGTTTACCTACCATATTATAGACCTAGACATGGAGAAATAAAAATTTTAACAAATTTCAAATCAACGAGGAATGTGTTTAGTGTAACTTGCTGTATAATAGGAATTTTAGTAATGGTTATTATCATAGGAACCTGAGATGTTCTTTTTTCCTTTAGCCTTTACCGGAAGAAGAATACACAAAAATAGAATTTGACGATGCAACAATTGGAATGAACATTCCAAAAAATTTTATTCCTTCTATTGAAAAGGTAGGAGAATTGTAAGGTAAGGTAAGGTAAGGTAAGGTAAGGTAAGGTAAGGTAAGGTAAGGTAAGGTAAGATAAGATAAGATAAGATAAGGTAAGGTAAGGTAAGGTAAGGTAAGGTAAGGTAAGGTAAGGTAAGGTAAGGTAAGGTAAGGTAAGGTAAGGTAAGGTAAGGTAAGGTAAGGTAAGGTAAGGTAACTTTATTTATCCACGGTGTACTCATCAGGATTAAGATTACATACATATAGCTATATATATAAATAAATCTACAAAATTATGCATAAAACTAATAACACACTCACACGTCAAACAGAACAGTGAGAGAAAATAATGGAGTGAAGTGATTGGGACGGCAGGCAATGCACTACAATTGCAAACGAACGAACTAGTTAGTCAGACTAACTTGTATGCATTGTTCGACTGTTTGTATGCTTTTATACACAGAGGAATAGACCTTGAATGCATAATGACGTCATTAGGCGATGCGCGCGGTGAATTCTGGTCTTAGTAGCCACGGCGGCAGTCAGGGCCGGATTAACGTTCCGCGGGGCCCGTGGCATATTATCATCGCGGGGCCCCTTGACCCCAACGGCATTTTAGACACTGAATTCAGTCAGATTAAAAAAATATTCTGTTCTATTTCATGCGTTGAAAAATTTCGTTTTGTATTTAGAAAAGAAAAAATAATTATACATCAATGATTTGATTGATTCCGAAATTCAACCCAGTTTGTACCATTAACATCATTATTATTTACAGAGAAAAAATAGCTAAACATGATAGCGTCCATGTAAACTTCTGCCGTTTTCCACAAAATTCAGCAATCTAGTATTTAACAGTTTACTGCAAATTTTAAAATTTTCTGACCCCTATGATTTTTTGGCCTCGCTTTTTGGAGCCCGTTGCCCAAAGAAGTAACAAAAAAATTTGTTTGCGGCCCTGCTTTTGGAACCTCGTTTAAAAATTATGGAGCCTCGTTTAAATTTTCGGGAACTTGGGCTCTTTGGGGCCCCGCACTGGCGCACTGTTTGGGCCCCGCGCTGAAACAGGGAAAAAAACGTTTGGGACCCCGCTTTTTGGGGCCTCGCTTTTTAAATTTTGGCGGACTTTGGCTCTTTGGGGGCCTTGGACTCTTTGGGGCCCCGCGCTGTTTGGATCCCGCGCTGAAACAGGGAAAAAAACGGTTTGGGGCTGCGCTCTTTGGTGTCTAGATTTTTAAATTTTGAGGTCTGACATCTTTCTAGGGACCTTGGGCTCTTTAGGGCCCCGCACTGTTTGGGCCCCGCGCTGAAACACTGAAACAGGGGGATAAAAGTATGTGTACGTTTGGGGCACCGCTTTTTGAGGCCTTGCTTTTTAAATTTGGGTGGACTTGGGCTCTTTGGGGCCCCGCACTGGCGGACTGTTTGGGCCCGCGCTGAAACACTGAAACTTGGAACAAAAAAACCCGTTTGGGGTCCCGCTTTTTGGGGCCTCGCTTTTTAAATTTTGGGTGACTTGGCTCTTTGGGGCCCCCACTGGCGCACTATTTGCATGGGCCCCACGCTGAAACAGGAAACAAAAAAATCGGATTAAAATAGAAGAGAGTGAGCGCGGGGCCCCCAAAAGCGCGGGGCCCGCGGCATATGCCGCTTCTGCCATATGGTTAATCCGGCACTGGCGGCAGTCCAGCATGGCTCGTATAGGTGAGTGTACTGATGTTCGTGGTCGTATTTTAAAGGCTGTTCAAGGCGATCAACACCCTAGTTCTCAGAACTCTTGCACAGGTCTTCAGAGTAACGAAAGTAACGGCAACAGTCCGCTTTCATCGACCAGTACGACAATTCTTTCAGTCATACTCGATGAAAGCGGACTGTTGCCGTTACTTTCAGGGATATCTAACCTCTGAAGACCCATGCATGCAAGAGTTCTGAAAAGAACTAGGGTGTTCATTGGCTTGAACAGCCTCTAAAAGACGACAAAGAATAACAGCGCACACTCACCTTCTACAGTAGCCATGTTGTTTGTTGGGTAGTTTTTCCCGCGATGAATACTAAGACCAGAATTCACTGCGCGCATCACACCTAATGACGTCATTATGCATAAGGTCTATTATCAGACGAACTACCTTTCTTTGCCCAAGTTCATCCAGACGGATCGTCCATCCCGATGTGTCTATACTGGATCATCTGCCGGTCAGACGAATGATACGTCATGACGGATGATCAGTATGCATCTGGCGCATTATTAGAAGTACAAGCAGACATTACTATATAAGATCCATGTAGGGATATTTATTTTAGAAAACGTTTTAATATATTTACCATCGAAATTGAGTAATTTTGCGTTGTGGAAAACACCACGACTATTTACTTACCAATAAATTTGTATGCCCTTTTCATCGGTGCAAATAATATAAAAGCAATGCGAAATAAATGATCGTTGTCTTTTTCACAATTAAAATGCCAATTACCTTTATCACCATGCAAACCTACACAGGGAACATTTACAGTTCAGTGAAAGATGTGTACATGCAGTATGCACATTCGGCAATATAAATCAGTATGCACTATCTGTTAATACGGCCTGGTTCTTTTTCATTTATACATTTTTGTTGTAGGGATTTTACGAAGCATGCGATAGAGGACATTATTCAGGTCATAAAATTTCTGGTGTAAAGTTCGTTCTCATTGATGGTAAGTTATCATTTGGGTGCTGTTAAACTACATGGGCTTTTATACTATAGTGAATATTAAAAGCGATCATGTGACAAAAAATAAACCAATCAGATGGATTTAGTCAAACATAGTGTAAACAAAAAACTGTAAATCGCATTACAGAATATATTTAATACAAATATACAGAAAAGTACAACAAATACACAAAATATATAAAACAAATATGGAATAAGGTGAGAATTTAATTAAAGTACTGTCAATATCTACTTTTGACAATTGACAGGCAAAGACAGATAGAGCTAAACATAGGAAAAACGTTTATTAATGCCATACGGGTGGACAGTGCCAAGTTTGGAAATGAGGCGCATTTCATGTCTTTTACCGATTTGCGGCTATCATTACTTCCAGAAATGGGACAGAGGGCTCGAATTATCATATCTGAAACACTGTGATTGCCATTAGCATCATTAATGACTGCACATCAACGATGCTCACCAAATCTTGTCCTCAAAGATCTTGCAGTTTCCCCAATATAAAACATGCCACATCTACTGCATGAGATGCAGTTGACGAGATGGGAGGAGGTGCACGTAAAATGATGCTTTTGACATGGTATTGAGATTTTGGTGCCGAAATGGTGGTAGCAGAATTTTTCTTGTTATTGGCCCTACCTACACTGGTACAAGCTATGTAAACGGTAAACCTTAACCTATTAGCTACAATAGACAACCAAAAACAAGGTTCGATTCCCACCGTGGCCAGGCATATTTTTCAAGCTTGCCCGGTGTGGATATACACTCAGAGTAGCATCACAAGCATCATATACTGAAATCGTTTTCTTCAATTTCTATTTTGTGTACCATAGAATTTCACGTTATTTACAAATAATTCCTTGCAACAGGTGGGGCTCACGCAGTCGACTCCAGTGATATCGCGTTTCGTATGGCTGCTATTGGTGCAATGAGACAAGGTAAAGCAGGCATGTTGAAATATCCTATGGGAAACCACTCGGCTGTACTCAGTGTAGGAAACTAGAAAAAGCAGGAATCTAACCCATGATATCAGAGGGTCGGACGCTCACTCTGACGGATGCGCCCCCAAAGCCATTCGAGATTGTTTCGTATAAAGTGACGTGGCTTTTATATATGTAATTGTTGATGGGATTTGTAGATGAAAATTTCGAGTGGAATTTTTTATACATTGATTAAACAGGGTTCGTAGCGGTCTTTGAAATCCTTGAAAGTCTTTAAATTTGAATTCAGGTCTTTGAAAAGTCTTTGAATTGTGTGAAAAAGCGAAGAAAGTCTTTAAAAGTCTTTAAATTCTTTAGTGATTATTTGATTATACGATTTCCTAGCTAATAAAAGAAATTGATTGAAGCAAGATTTTCGCAAATATCGACGAAAAGGTGCATTTTAGGATGTGATTTGACCGGACTAATTACCGGGTAAAAATGGTGCTTACACTCGCAATTTTTCGACAGCTGATTGCTCTCAAAGATCTTTGAAAAAGTCTTTGAAAATAGGCAGAAAAAATCTTTGAAAGTCTTTGAATATTTTTGGTCTTGCAGACTACGAACCCTGTTAAACCTAACCAGGAGCTGTTTCGAAAAATGCAACTATCGACCCTCTGACAGGACTCGAACCTGCGATTCCGGTGCAGCGCTCTAACCAACTGAGCTACAGAGAGACAGTTGTCGAGCTCTAACCACAAGTATAAATGTATAAAAATTCCACTAGAAATTAATTTTCCATCCCTTCAACAATTAGCTATTTCGAGTGAGATGCCCAAAATTTTGATATTTACCCATACACCGTAGTATTTATACGTAAACTTAATTGTAGTTAGAGCTCGACAACTGCATGTCTCTCTGTTGCTCAGTTTGTTAGAGCGCTGCATCGAAATCGCAGGGCCGCAGATTCGAATCCTGCAGAGGGCCGAAACTGCTTCTGGTTAGGGTCTAATAAGTGTATAAAAATACCACTCGAAATTTCCACCTACAAATCATTTCGTATTTGTCTATTTCAGCAATCATGTTTCGCTCGCTACTCTGGTTTAAATAAATGATTACAAAGCCCAGTCGAATTGTAATCAAGACCCAACGTTTCGACACTCCAGTCTAGTGTAATTTATTTAAACCAGAGTATAGCGAGCGAAACATGATTGATATACCTGGTTGCAGTGAACGAACAAACTTTATATTTCAGCAATGTCATCAAGTTCTGCTGTTATTCTTGAACCAGTAATGAGTGTCGAAGTCAATGCTCCTATGGAATTTCAGGTATAGACCAGTCTTATTGACTAGTTTAGACACTTATTTATCATTGTACGGGCATTATTTTCTAGTTGCCGGAACAATAGCCTGATTCCTGTGAACACTCTGGTTCAAATTTTCCTGGTTAACCTAGAAGTTACCCTACTATTCCTGGGCCGGTTGTGCAAAGGTGGGTTAGTGCTAACCCTGGGTTAAAATTTAACCCCCTGTTTTGGTTTGTGTAGTTCTGCACGTTTTTTTATCTCAAAACGTCAGAGAAGTGAACTCCTATCGATCCAGACAAGATCTCTGAAGAAATATGTCCAAATTTATAGACAAGATGTCAGGAAGTTTGCTTTGAATATTAGATTAACCTAGGGTTAAGCTAATCTAGCTTTGAACAACTGGCCTCTGCATGTCTGTTTATTTCAAAACTTCAGAGAAGTGAACTCCTATCGATCCAGACAAGATTTCTGAAGAAATATTTCCAAATTTATAGACAAGCTGTCAGGATGTTTGCCTTGAATTTTAAGTTAACCTAGGGTTAAGCTAACCCAGCTTTGAACAACTGGCCCCAGGTATATAAGTGATTTTAAATCGTTTAAAAATTCACATGCATGCGTTATATGCTGAGTTATAAAGGAGAATGTTTATAAAGCATACTTATATGCAGTTTTCCAAATGACGATGTTGGATAAAAACACATAAATTATCAAATATTTGGTAGCTCATTATGTAAAGTGTGACGTAAATTTGTTTGCAATGCATGTGAGCAAAACTGAATTATCTCGCCAAGAATGGACGTAAACGAAAATCTGCAAAACAAGTTACTTTACAGTATTGACTATTCTTTCAGATGGGACAATAAAAAATTCGTGTTTAATTTGATCAGCCCTAAGGGTACGAAGCATCAAATCATAGTTTTAGCTAGTTGATGTTTTATTTTTCTTAGGGTTCAGTAATAGCTGGACTAAATCGACGGAATTGTGTAATAACAGGAACAGACGGTAGTGAAGGATACTTCACATTGTACACTGAGGTAGGTTAACTTTAAAGGCCCGTTTACACATTGCTGCAATTTTAGGTGCGGTTTTCTTCTCCTGATGTATGTGAACGAGTGGATGAGTTAGGAATGTTTAAATGAGTGTACATATAATTAGACATTTATAACTTATTTACTCGTTCACATCCATCAGAAGAAGAAAATCGCAACAAAAATTGCAAGTGTAAACGGCGGGGCCTTAAGTGTGTGGGCGGAGATTGCTGTATTAACCTGGGCTTATAAACTACGACCGGCCATTTTATGATTTTTATCATATCAATGATAGACGCTGGTCATAGTCTGTATCAATAAGCAATATTACTAACGTCGAGCAGGGACGTTTCTTTACAGTATTTGTCTCCCAAGCATTATTCATGTTTCCACATTGCGGTTACTAAAATGTGGCCAAATTTCACTTAAATCTATCAGCATTGCCTAGACCTCTGGCCTAGACCTAGTGTATAGTAGCTTATTGTTTGTTTGTCCGAAAAGTTGCATGCCCTCCATCACACGCGCAGTTCAACCTCGATAGGGTGGATTGTGCCAATTGAAAAGTAACTTGGATCTTTAGGATATATAGTTATATTCATAGGATGGTAATTCTTTAACTTTCCTTAAAGTGGAATTTTTATCTACATCAGTTTTTTAGAACCACAATACATAACCCGCGAACAGGCATACTCTGGGAACGAGATTGACCATAATATTGTATACAATTTCATTTCAATCATAATTTCATTTCCATAATTTAACCCCGTTCTTTTTTAAGGTTCCACTTAATGACATGTTTGGTTATGCATCAGAATTACGGTCACTGACGCAGGTAGGACGTCATGTCGGTTTAGATTATGTAAACAGAATAGGAACCTTACAAAAGGTCAACGTCTTGGTTTTGTCTATGATTTTGGCGTAACCGTTGCAATGCTGTCGCCATGCATGGTCCTTATGAGAGGTATTCTTCCCTCTGAAAATATTCAAAATGGCGGATGTTCAGGAGGGTGAATGCCTTTGATAACCGCACTGGCTAGGAACATGGCGACAGCATGACGTGGCAGCGGTTACGCTTTTTTGGCCGAGTCGACCTTCAATTTGTATGTATTCTGTGCTATGTATTCGTGTCAAAGAAAGTAGATGTCCACGACATCGCTCAAAAGCAATGACTCAAGCGAAGTCTCGCTCAATCCTCACTCAAGTTTGGTTTGAAGATTCGTTGTCACCACAGGTGTTCACCTGGGAAAAACTATTCTGCACGCAGAAGATTCCTCGGAAAACTTTGGATTAAGGATAGGGTCAGGGCAGTGGAAGCGGAACGCGCGGGAGGGGGGGGGGGAAGGGGGGGCAAGTCCCCCCCCCAAAAAAAATGGATTCGAAATTTTAAAGATTATATATTAAAATTGGGCAAATTTAGTGAGAAAAATGGGGAAAGATCAAAGAAAACCGGCAAATGCATTAAAGATATCAAGTTGGAATATTAGGTCCGAATATTTTTTAGTAGGGTCCTGACAATCAAATTGCAAAAACTTCAAATTGCACTCGTCCTTCGTCATTGAAAAACTCACTCGTGCATGCTTTTCCCACCAGATACCATATTAATACCTATAAAAATTTCTTTTACTTTTTACCATCTAGGGAAAAGGAGAGTTTACTATGGAATATTGCAAATATTTACCAGCTTCACGTCAGGTGCAGGTTGAATTGATTGAAAAGTATAACAAAGACAGACAGCAGAAAGCCAAAGCAAGATGAAGCATACTACGTTCTGAATGGGTATGTTATGAGTATTCCTTCCCTCAGCTCTCCCAAAGGCAAAGAGGGTCATTGCCACCGAACCTCGATTCTTACGCTGAAAATTCTAACAAACCTCAGTGGAACTGAGGTGATGTAACTACAGCAAGTAATATAATTAATCCAAGTCGAAACTCTTCCACTCTAAATTATTACTTCTTGGTCAGGTATATTGTATGAAGCCAAAGTTAGGACATAAACTGTGACGAAAGAATCTGAATATAGCGTGCCTACTTTGATTGCATAGATTGTTATCACGCATTTATTAATTGCCCAGTGCAGAATATGGCGTAGAAGTGTACAATAATTTATTTTATCCAGGCTCATGTAATAATTTTTTTAAACGGGCTGTAGCTCTCTTTGTCCTTTAGTTTAACCTAAACATACTATTATCCAAGATACAGTAAAATTGTTTAACAAACAGCCGTTTAATTTTACATATTTATTTTACAGTTTTTAGTTTACATTCAATATCATACAGTAAATTCGCAGTTTAACAAAACTTGCAAGTAATGTATATTTAAGTATATGACAGTATATGGATGATCATTTAGCTGCCTGAGTGCTTGGTGTTCATTGATCGCAGTCTGCTAGTTATTACAGTCTAGTTCGTCATCGTAGCTTCCATGTGGTCTACATGGTCCAAGTTGTCCTACATGGCTGTAGGATAGTCATGGTTTCCCAATTGACCATACAAATATGGTTGGTTGAATGACCATAATTGATTGAATGATCATAATTGATCACCGTTGCCTGCAAACGGGTTATAGTTAGCTACAGGATAGTTTTGGTTGGCTGCCGAATACTACTTATTGTTTACAGGTCGGTGATATAATGGTCGGCTAAATTTCCAACGTCGATTGCCCGTTCACTGTAACTTTGCTGGCTATAGCTGGCTAGCTTATAATCGTCTGCCAACGGGTTATAAGCCAGGTGGTTTTGGCTGGCTGCCGCATGGTAACTATTGGTTACAGGATGATTATGGTCTATTAAATCTCCAACGTCGATTGCCCGTTCATTGTAACTATGCTGACTATAGTTATCTAGCTGGGCATGGATGGTTGTCGGTCTATGGTTAGATAACTGGCTGACAGACTGGCCGTGATTGGCTCGCTGACTAGCTGGCTGCTGATTTCGAGGAGACCGACTTGCTAAATGGGTTGCAGAATTTTTTGCTGTCTTTGGACGATTTACGACGTACGAACCACGACGTTTACGAAAGATACGATGGACAAAGGATGACAGTCGTTTAGTGAATGAACGTGTTACCCGCAACCTTAAACATGAAAATAAATTATGTGTTGATTTTGTTGAGTTTTAATTAGGAACAGTGTCTGGGCGTCCATTTGAAAAGCCTTAGTATCCGAAGTGGGTATATATTGAAATAATTTATGTAATTATACTAATCATTGGCATTGCTTAAACTTACCAAGAATGGTTTGCAACTTGTTTAATACTCGGTCGATTCTTTGGATCCATAGCGTACAAATTGGTGAGGAGGTTTTTCAGTTCTGCAAATAGAAATGTATGGTACATTCTTTACGAGGTTTGCTTTGGAGATCGAAGCACATACAGACTCGTGGGAAGGAGAGGCAACTTTGTACCACCGCGCAAATGATTGATTAAATCTTGAAATTCATTCCATAGTTCAATCATGAGATCCATGCCATAGGTGGGCATTCGACAACCGATGCTGACTTCTAGGCGGCCACTTCAGGATCACCTCTGCCAGTTAATACCTCATAGGTGGCTAGTAGGCTCTTGAAGACGACAACGACACAAGAGAATTATGCTGAATAGTCTATAGGGTAAGAAATACACTTACCGTCAGATACGTTATCAAACTGTGGTAAACCGGATATGACATCTAAAAACGTTATATAATTCGTATAAGGCGCTCGACCATACAACATCTGATATATTACAACACCAATAGATCGCACTGCCTCTTTTGATGGATCATATAGTCCATGTCTGACGTATTCTGGAGGCACATTCATTGCAGTGCCTGGATGGGAAAATAAGACAAAAAGTACAATAAATGGTTTGTACAAATTTATGGAATACAGTTAGCATGAAAAAGAAGAGGAATTTTAACTGAACAAATTAATTTTCTTAGCCCTGCAGCTCTGTTGGGATCTCTTTTACTACCTATTTTCAGTTGTTGCAATGATTATTATTTGATGGGCACTTTAATTTAAGTCTTTAACAAGTAGTTGTATAATCAAACAAGCTTCTCGGGCATTAAAGAGGGATATAGCTGGACACGCCCTCTTCATTCATGACTGTAGCCTGCTCTGCGGACGAAAATATATTTTCTTTCATTGGATTCACCACATCAACCGTCTCCCCTCCGCAATTCAATTTTCCTATTGCGCGAGACAAAAGCCTTCGCGAATGATATCAACCTGCAGCATGTTATTTTAGTCCATACCGCCGGCTATCAGGATTTACCTCCCTGTCAATACAACATTTGTCAGCTTAAACTACATGGTGGTTACTCACCAGCAAATTGGTCAAATAGTTTTCCAGATTCATGTTTAGTTGCGAGTCCAAAATCAATTAATTTGATGTCATCTTTCTCGAAGTCATAGAGAATATTCTCTAACTTTAGATCACGATGAACAATATTCTTTCTCTCCATTGCAAGAACGACATCAACCAATGTCTTCGCGTATTTTTTTATCTCGTTCTCAGTAAAGTATCCTCCTCTGTCACTTCGAATGTCGTAAAGGTCTTTGCAGTGAATTGGCCTTTCGCTGATAATTACAAAGACATCCGGAGAAATCCGTTGGTAATGCAAAAATTTGATGACATTCGGATGTTCTTTCATTTTTTTGAGAAAGTAGACTTCGCTAGGTACTCGACCTAGGTCTTTATCCTGAGAAGAAAATATTATAAGAAGGTCGCTCTCATGCACCTATGGTTCGCCACTGAATAAAATATTGTAAACCAACTATAGTAATTTCCGACTTTTCCCATTGGCATTGTGTTCAAATGTAATCACCATTGTTCTATACGTATTGGTAATTGTTTTAGAGGTCGATGGACCTATTATTTACAGTACCTTGTAATACTCTTCAACTGAGGTATATTTTACAAATTTGACAGCAACCTGAAATGAAGTAAGTAGGTAAACTTTATTTCACGTGGGAAACGTATTAACCATAACAGTCCTCGCAATGTTACAATAGTTACAAACATAAGTACTACAATGAAGATCCGGGCTTACGGATCGAAAGCTCTGCAAATAATAAGTTTACGTGGTGTTCCACAAATAGTGATTGAATAGTGATTCTAAATCTAGTCGAATTAGTTTAAACACACGTTTCAGCATATGAATTCAAATTACTCACTGTAGTATTTATACAAAATACAAAACAACGGTAACTCCGAAAAGGAACATTTTAATTTAGTTCTGGCCAGGGGCGTAGGAACCGGGGGGCCAGGGAGGGGGCAATTTTGCCAAGTGCCCTTTTTCCGGGAGCAAAGTGCCCTTTTCTTTCGTGAAACTTTTGAAAACTGGAATTTATGTTATTTCCGGAAAATTATACCCTGCGAGCAGAGCCTTATTTTCGTTTCTTCGGCGAGGGGGAAAGGAGAAAATAAGGCTCTGCAGTATTCGTGTTTTGCTTCGTCCAAGATTCTGGACGAAGCAGACCTGTTTAACCAGTTTATCCGGTATTTAATGCGCGCGGCTACAGTTTGACGGTGAACCGATGACTAAATGCGAGCCAGCGACATAGCAAACAAAACGGCGGAAATCGAACTATACTTATACGAGTTTGTTGCAAATGAATCAAGTTTTTGCATTTACACACGAAAACTAAAGAGAGTTTTGTTTGAAATTTGATAACATCTTCAAAATACCTTACGTTTAATATCATTCTACAATTTCGCGCGAGCTTGAAGTCTTGAACGGATAAGCGGATCAAACGATGGTGAATTTTGATTCGCTAGTAATAAAGGCGGACGTCTGCGAAGACAGGTCTAACATTTCATATAGCTGTAACTGGGCAACCGACAGAGCATGCGCAATGGAAGCAAAACACGAATACTGCAGAGCCTTATTTTCTTCTTTCCCCCTCGCCGAAGAAACGAAAATAAGGCTCTGCTCGCAGGGTAGGAAAATTATCATATATTCGGAAATTTTTTTGGTATGTCCGGAAAATTTTTTCATATTTAGGAAAAAATGTGATATATCCGGAAAATTTTTTTAGTATGTCCGGAAAATTTTTTTGAGGCGACACCCCCCCCGCCGTCGCCAACATTTCCGGTAAAAATTTTTAGATGCCCTTTTTGATTCGAAAAGTGCCCCTCACAGCCTGCCCCCCCCCCCCAACTTTTAGGAGCTTCCTACGCCCCTGCAGGTTCTGGCTTTCGACTATGTTTTAGTAATCATCATGCAGGAATGATGCCAGGTAATTGCGTAACAACGATATCTATACTTCTTTCTGTATATGATATGTGACGTACTAGGTCGTACATAGGAGCTTACCGGTGTTTTCTCAGTTCCTTTTATAGCATAACCTTTATACACGGAACCATAACCACCATTACCAATTACGCCATTTTCAACATAATAGTAGATTAGGTCTGAAAGTTAAAAACAATAATTGCTATTCTACTGAATTTGTTTGATAATCAAGTTTGTTATTGTAGAAACGTTAGGCTATACGTCCACACTAATCCGTTTTCGTAGAAAATCTTCCCTTTCCGGAAACCAAAATCATGCGTGCTGATTAGATTTACCAATTCGGCTGAAAATTCACGCCATTTTACTGTGTTCTTTAATCCTTATTCTCTGTGTTACCACCCTCCCTCCCCCCCCCCCTTATCTCCAAAAAGTCACCAGTAATACGAGCAACAATGCATCATAATTTAGTGTATCTTGCCTTTTGATCTGCCAACTTGAACAAGAGTTTCTCCATCAATCACTTTAGTTCCAGAAGTCTGCGCATACTCAGGTGATTGTCCCACTTGGTTATCTTTGATTATATTCCATTTCAGTAACTGTTTTCGAAAAATATTACGTCTCTTGACTTTCACATCATGGATGCTTTATAGAAAATACAAAGTCGGAATTGAAACAGAATAAGAAAGAAGATTCTGGCATTTATAATAACAGTTTTCCTAAATCTAAATATGTAAAAGTGGACAATGTCAATGAAGCCAATTTTTCACTTCACTGTAACCGTTTCAAAGGGATTTGGCAAACTCGAAATCGTACTCAAATTAGAACGATTTCGCCTTGCGTTTACACGGGATGCATAAAAGCGGACGAATTTGATCGAGTACAGCTATAACCGTACGAGTTCCCGTGTGAACTACAGTCGAACCTCCCGTAAGTGGACACCCTTGGGACCAAATCATGGTGTTCATTTACGGTTTACGTACGGGAGCAATGGCGGTGGAACAGGGGGGGGGGGGGCTATAGCTCCAAAAATCTCACCTCTCCTGAGTATCATTTGGAATTGTGTCGGTAACAGACTGGAGCTGGAAACGCAAAAACAATATTTCATCATCAATTGTTTGTGAATTGCTCAATGACTGGTGTGTAGAACATAGAAAATATGGGAACATAAAGATGTTTATTTTAATTTGGAATTAGTTCAGGTCGTGACCTGAGAAATGTGTTTGGGTACATTGTCTCTCTGGCGCCTCAAAAGACCCTGGATACAGGTTGCACTGACAGCTCTTTGCATAACGACAGGATAACATGGAGAATGAGAACAGTGGGATTTCCAGAACTATCAGAAGACAATGGAACATTCCGATCCCTGGATGGCACTATTGTTAAGCTAGGTGTTATGGCCTTTGTCCCATTCGGTTTCAACTCTTGCTTTTTCATACTGCAATAAAATCTGCTCATATTGAAAATAGTCTTCCAGCTACTGTGCATATCACGTCTTACCTTGTGTTCAGACGTCTCACATGTTTGACGTGGCCCACCAGAAGAAGACTGACGACTTCTGAAATGTGATGGAAAATGTATTTCCTAGTCAATTATCGGGCAATTCACCAAAACCGTTCACTATTGGGTGACTAACCAGTTCTAAACATTGAGCATATACACGACTCCACATGTCTCTTAAAATTCCATTGTAAAGTAGTATTTCTCACCTCTCGTCCAAAGGCTCAAACCCGATGGAGACAAAAGATTCTATCTATAAGGATAATTTTTATGCGTTAAAGGAAACAAAAAGCAATATATAGTTTACTGTAATATGACTGTGTTCACCAATGTACGTACGTATGGAGCTAAAGGCCCACCTGATTTCTGGACGTCTGCTTGGTTTCTTGAGAAGGAACATAATCAGATTTCAAAGATCTGAGACTACTATACAAAACACAACGAATTTCTTTGTCATATAGAGAAGAATTGTGTAAAATGGTGTTAAATTATAATAGGCCCTGCATTAATAAGAGGTGTAAGTGTAAAGAGGTGTAAGTGAAGAAGCATATTTATAATGGCGTTTTAATCCAACATAATGCTTGATCTTAGAATGAGGCTCACTGCGTGATGGCATAAGACATGAAAAGAAATTAAGAAATTTGTTTTCAAAATCTTTTATTGTCCGAGCTTTCATCCAAGTTAGGCCTGTTTTATACGTCGAATTTCGGTCGCGTCGAATGCAATTGAAACAACAGATAATGAAGCTTAACGAGGTTTATATCTCATTATCTACTGTCCTAATTGCATTCGACGCAACCAAAATTCGACGTATTAAACAGGCCTTATACGGACTGACATTATTGGAGACAAATGAATAAATTCAAAGAACAATACGACACAACAATAGCTAGTACACTGACGATCATTGTTGATGTTATATGTAAACAACGAGTTTGAGTGTTTCATCAGGGGATCCAAACACGAGAAAACTGTATGAAACACGAGCGCGAAGCGCGAGTGTTTTATTGTTTTCGAGTGTTTGGTCCCCTGATGAAACACGAGAAACGAGTTGTTTACACAACATCTCAAACGAAAACATTTCATTGGCTTATATATATTATTATAGTATATTGTTGTGTTTTTGACTTGAATTTGTAATTAGGATCTCAGTTATTAGATGAAAACCGTTTTTCATCTAACAACAGTGATGGTATATGATTTTTAGCGTGTTTCCTGCGGTATCCAACCTCAATCATGTGACGAATTAGGGTGAGTTCATTCGCTAATTTGCTCATGAATTATTAATGAGTTTGAGATGTTCAATGAAAGCTCGTGCATTAAAAAATTAATTTAAAGAAGGATTTTGTATCTGCGTCAGCCATTGATGGCGTCAGCAGAATGCCAGAGTATAACTGCTACGATACGAGTAACTGTGTTAGTGCATGTGCATGTGGATATTTATAACCAATCAAAAAACAGCTACGTATATTCCGCGGAACAAGGAAAATTCAAGATGGCAGGTACGAATAGTTGTTTAATTTAATACATTTACAAATGATGAACTAATTAAAAGAAAAAAACTTTGTAATACAAAATATTTGAAATATTTTACTCCGATCTTTAGACCGAATTTCATACATTTATAGCTTATGAGTACAACGAGTTTATGTGTTTATTAAGGTTGAAACAAAGGAAACGAATTCTTTTCATTATTTGATGGTGCAAGATAAAGAAATCCTTTTTTTATAAATCTCTTGATGTCTGATAAAGGCCGACATTGTCAGATACAAATGCAGGACGATCCGCTGCGTCAGTTCAAAGACTTTACTACATTTGATTTGCCCCTAACCATGTGTATGTTCGACAAAAACTTATTGACATTAAGAAAGTTCATTTGTTCAAAGAAGGATTCTTTGAATATCTTGCACTATCACAGTGTCCGACCTAAATTCAAAACTCAATGATTGCGATAATTGTGATGGAATATGGTTATTTGTACCCTGGATTCCAGAGCCTTCGACAGTATAAATAATAAATTAAGAAACGTCGCGAAGGCTCTGGTTCAACGGGAAGATTCTTTGATTAAACCGCGCCAATCACAAAACAATTATTTTTTAGTACAGAATCTGTACTAAAACTACTAATTCTGTTTTGTGATCAGTGGCGCGGTTTAATCAAAGAATCTTCCCGTTCAACCAGAGCCTTCGCGACGTTTCAATTTGTTATTTACTGTCGAAGGCTCTGGAATCCAGGATAGGTTATTTGGTTTCTCAAAAAACTGTTCAATAATTTCATATGTGAAAACGCTCCGGCTGAAAAATTGTCGGGCAAAAATTAAAAGTATGAATTCTTACCATTCTCCACAAGAGCCCGTTTTAAAGGAGTGTAGAGACTGTAAATGAAAGTAAATTACATTTAATTATGCAGTTTTTTGACATTTCATCTTTGGCATTTTTCTAACTCCGTTATTTATACAAAAATATTAAATCTTATTTCTCACCTCAAAATTGTCAGAAGCTTGATATGTAACTTGACATTGAAACGGATAACGGACACTGCCGTTACTACAAAGAATTACATAACATATATTAAATACAAACATGGTGCCAACAAAGCATCACATTCGGCTAATGCAAAGCATTTTTTATTCCATCTTGCAAACGAGTAACAATCTACATTTTATTTAACATACACACATTCACGACAACCATGACATTATGTTCAACCTAAACACCTCAACTTTTTTACATACAAATGCCGGATAAAACTCTAACCTCGACGATATCCCAAGCTCATCATCTGCTGACCAATACACATGTCCATTCTGTAAGGAAACAAAACAATTTCATATTAATATCTCTCTCTGTCCATTTTAACTTTTGTTTGTTAAAGCATAGTCATTCAATATAGTAAAACGAAAATCGAAAATGGTACATTAAATTTTGTTCTCACCTTAATATCAGAGCTTTGAGGTCTCTGAGAACGTAGACTCCTGTATGAATGAAGAAAAAAACAAAAAGAACTTAAAGACACACAAGTGACAAGATATATGCTATGAAGAAAATGAATATTGATGTAATTTATTTTCATCAAGCCTGAAGAGAACGGATTGAGCATACGTAATTAGATACGTGATCCTCCTTAATTTTTAATTTCCAATCCCAGGAGGAAATTTATTAAGCTCCCCCCCCCCGCCCCAACCCACCCACCCAAACATAGCTAAGAAAACATATGTATTGCTTTGATCTGTGCTTTGATTTATCAAATTAGCCTGAAATTCACGCAGGGGCGAAACTAGTCCCTTTTAATTAGAGGTGGTTTGTCTGAGAGAACGAAGTCGGACGACGACGACGTGGTTGACAATTTTTGCCTGTCTTGCACATTATCTTGCGCATTCTGAGTTTAGGGTCAGGAGTGAAGACAGATTAGAGATTCATGTCTAGCTGTTTGTGAATGCTGACTCAAATCCTTACCCTGATCAGGATAAAACAGCGAGACATGAATCCATATCTCGTCTTCGTTCTTCTGCCTTCGTTCACAACGAATATTTTGGCAAAATTCGTTGTGAACTTCGTTCTGCACGAAGGCAGAAGGACAAAGACGGGATATAGTTTCATGTCTCGTTGTTCCCTTCTGGATCAGGGCAAGAATTATGGTCAGTATTCATAAACAGCGACACATGGGAAGACACGTTGAGCAACTACCAGTGACGTCCAAATCACTATGCGCAAGATAATGTGCAGGCGGCAAAAATTGTCAAGTATGCCTTCGTCTTCGTACTTCGTTTTCTTGCTCAAACTCTCTAATATATCCGATGCCACTGTACATGCTGCATACGAACTGCTTATTGTTTGCTAGCTATAATAAGTTACTTAATAACTCTACATTCTATCATTTAAAATCTTTGATTGCTCTGCTAGTCGAGATGATTCGTTTTTTTCCGGGTTTTTATTTGGTTTGTTTTTCTTGGGTGGGGGGTGGATGGGGGGGGGGTGTCACACACCCCCATACCCCCTCAAGTTTCGCCCCTGAAGTCACTTTCAGTTAGCAAGATCAATACCCTCGATCTCCCTCTCTACTGAACTCCTTTTCTGAAATAAATATTGCAATCATAGATATCTTATATACACTAGATAGTGCATCTAATTATTCTGCAATTCAAAAATTGAAGCCTTGATTGCAGTCTCAGGTCGTTCCCATGAAATGAGAAGATTCGTATGTTCTCTATTTCTTAAACACGGAACTTAAACATTAAGTTAACCCAATTCGAAATACGTTTTTAAACTATTCAAATGATGAAAGTTATTGTTGTTTTTAAGCGTTTATTAGCAAGTGGGAACGACCAACATGGCCGCCATCTATTCAAATGGGGGTAACCGCTGGAATATTCTTGGCTTCAATTTTACTAAAAGAGATGCGCTATCTAGTGTATGTAAGATATCTATGATTGCAATACGTTATTTTTTTATGCATGAAGGTATTATTCATTGCAATTTGATTTGCAGATGTTTAAAAACACTCTAAAGAATAACCAATCATAATAGCTAGTAGTCTTGGCAAAAGTCCTGCAGAGAAATTCACCTGCAACGTATATTGAACTTTGTCTTTGGGTATTGCAGAAAAATTACCCCGAATTCCTGAAAGATCATTACCATGTCAGATTCCAGGTTGTTCTTAATGCGCATACTCATCAAACCTTTATTTTGTTAATCTAAAGCTTGAAATGTCCTGCAGTAACAAATTAATGCGTGACTGCCAACTCTCATCAACTCTTACCCTCGTTTGATCATGTGGTTTGATCGGGGCTTCAATTTATGTTTTTTTTTGCCAGAAGAGCATTAACATTACGTCAAACTTATTGACTAGCTCAGTCTAGCTGACCAATCAAAATGCGCGAACAACACTATTCGCATACGCCATCAAGCGTAGATTGATGACGCAAGTTAATTAACAATTTGCACATGCGCTCACTTTGCCTTGCTCCTAAGTTTTTTTAACTTCGCGCAGTTTTTGCATCTATTATTTATTTATTTGATGATAATTTTGTCATAGACCTCGTTGTTCTGGGATTTCTGAACCCCGCGTTCTCTAACGCTTTTATCGTTTTCAAAAATTACATAACAAAAAAGCCTAAAACACATTACATTACTTATAATTATATCAAATATGAATAGAAAACTTTAATATACTTACATATTTATTCGATAATTCCAATATAAAATATTGAACAACAATCTAACAGCGCTTTAAAAAAGAAATTTCAACGAACGAACTTCGCGGAATGTTAACCTCTCGATAATTCTCGAAAAGTGAGGGAGATCTTTGTTCACGTAGATAATTAGCATTTTGCGCGCGAGCGTTTTTATTGAGCATTCGTTTCATTTTAAGCCAGCGACGTCTTCGAACGGCTTGCTAAAACAAATTTCAAAAGATACTGATATTGCCTGATACTACTGATGTAACCAAGCTTGGGAGGATTAATACCTGCTCTAAATGATTGTGAAGTTAACATTGTTTGGCAGAGAGCTTTGCCCAGGCCTAATCACTGGAAAAAATGAAAATTCAACAACGCCTTAATTTTGGGAAAAGAAATCTACGACTACGTTCACACCACACTGGAGCGAAATAATTCCGCGGCCGAATTTACGTGTGGTCACACTACGCCCTCTGCTCTACACCGTTACAGTTTGTTTACAAATTAAATTAGCGCTCATGAAAACCCAAAATATTTCAAATAGAGCAAATAACAAATTTCGTTAATAACGAAATGCATTCAAATTTACTGTTGTGAGACCTGAGAAGCTTGGTGCAAACGGTACAAAACCGTAAAGGCGTTTCCGTTCACACGAAGACGTCAAGAGCTCCGTTTCGGCGTCGGTAGTGCACGTAATCTGAATGTAACCCAAACTATATCTGTCTGCCTCATAAAATAAACAGAAAACGGCGCAGACTATATATATGTACTATTTAAAGCACGCGTAGGAGTGTTTTATCACATATAAAACACGACGCGTAGCGGAGTGTTTTATATGTGATAAAACACAACTACAAGTGCTTTAAATGGCTTAAAAAACGACTCGTCTTATACGAGTTCATTGGCGAGTTCATATACGAGTTCATATATATATATATATATATATATATATATTAGGTTGAATGGCGTTCTTGTCGCATATATAATTTATGTGTCCCACATCCATCATCTCATTGTTGGTTGTATAAATACTTTTCGGATGAAAAGCTCACTATCAGCTACACTGCGCTGACGAGCCCCAAAAGGGCGAAACAGCTGTCCGCAGTTGCTGGTAGTGAGCTTGGGGCACAATTGCCTATGGGCCTTTGCGCTGATTTAAATCTGTGACATGCAGAGATCATGCGTATTAGGTTGAATGGCGTTCTTGTCGCATATATATATATATATATACACCGCGGACGCGATTCGACAACGCGACGCGATTTTTCGATTTTCACTGAACGATAAGTTTGATCCTAGTTTAAATTTTCCAAATATTTAGAAGCGTTTCAACATTTTGAGTTATTTGGTATACATATCTTTTAAAATTTGCTCTCATTGGCTGTTTTATTAACTTTCAAAAACTAAAAAATCGCGTCGCGTTGCCGAATCGCGCCCAGCGTGTATGGACCTTAACCGGCCTCTGCACATGATACTACTACATTGCCGAATCAGTTTAGTTTAATGCATTTCGTGATTGGCAGATTGTCCAAAAAGTTGCGAGGCAAGTTGCAGTGGGAGAGGGGGGAGGGGGTTAGACACTGCAACGTGTTGCGCATCATTGCAATTGCGAAAATAGGAACGGTCCAACTTATCTGCTACTCGCAATGCAATTTTTCATTGCAGAACCGGTTGCAAACTTTTGCTTGCAAAACGTGTTAGTTATTCTCTGCACTGTGTTGTGGTTAATTAAAACGAAACACCTTTCTGTGGGATTGGAATTTTATATTAGGCTTTACACGTTTCTGGATTAACGGAATATTTTCCTGCATCTTAATGTAATATTACAAAAATGCGAAATAGTCGACAGTATCCGACAACAAAATATTTGTCTATAATTGTGAATATGGCTCCGTTCCGAGGGGGCCGGTCCAGTTTCATATACATGTCAGTGGTCGATTGCAAGGCGCGGTTACCAAGCTCCCGAAGAAAGTGATCCCCAAAAAAATTTCTGCCCGCAGTCATATCATCCCATCCCCATCTCTCACTTGTTACCACGTAATATCCCCAACGGTACATGAAAGCACTTGACATTCAAGAAGAAGTCAACATGTAAATTTGCAGAACTTTTCTATAATTTATTAAATTTAAGACATTCATACATCGTATTTTCAACACTCAACATGAAGTGAGGAGTCGAAAGAGCATGGAGGAAACGTTTGATATACCTCCAATGGATTTGAAGGCTTCTGCTGAACAGGAAGTGCGAAAACTTCAGGACATGGTGAAAAGGTTGGAAAAACAGAATGAAATTCTTCGACATAGCTCTAGTCAGAATGGAGCGGCCATAATTACATTAACGAAGAGAGATAGCGTGGAATTGGAGGAAGTGACACTTATTAATTTGAATGATTCTTCTGATGAATTGGAAGACAGCTGGTAAAGTAACTAGAGTTTTCTCCATAACTGTATATTGTTTTTGAAGTTAATATTTTACTAAATGGTTGTATATATTAAATGTAATTGGTTGTAACATCTTGTGTAAAATCACTAAGAGGTTGTTTCTGCACTTGTCAATGTTTAGCCCCAGGGGGGTCGGGCATACCCGAGGGATTTGACATTTCGCCCAAGTCTCGTGTCAATATCCCCGTCATGGGGACAATCTCTTGTGTCAAATGCCCCTCACGTAGGAGGAAAATTTTGCAATGTTTAGCTAGATAAATCAGTACTTCATTGCATAGAAAATCCGTATAAATATAATATCAATATTATTTAACAATTATTTGCCAAAAGCGAGGTGATTATCAGGGAATATTCGCTGAGACGAAGTCGAGGTGAATATTCCCCGATAATCACCGAGCCTGAGGCGAATAATTGTTTTAATATTTTTGCACCATTTTTTTGTGTTTTTCTGGTCTGAATTCATTTTAATTTCACTTATTTCTTCATCACTAACTTCAACAAATTTTTTATTAATTTAGCCGACGTATTTTAATAGATGAACAACAAGGCAACAATGTGATATTCATTATTCAATGTGAGCATGAAGTCCACGCTATGCAAAATGGCGACCGAGTGCAGTCCTGGGGACAAGGATGAGGAAAAACTTGTGCCCAGACTATTGTGCGACCTTGTCAAATTTCCCCACCCTGGAACCTTGAGAAAATGTCAAATTTCTTATTTTTCCCTACCCTTGGAAGGGAAACTATGTAAAATCCCCTGGGTATGTCCGGCCCCCCTCCCCTGGGCTAAACATTGACAAGTGCATTACATTCCCCCTTTGCTGGGAAGAGATGTGAGGTAGGATGATTTTGATGTATTGAAATAAGGCCCCAGGCATGCACAAACTAAATTATTTTTCTAGTGATCAGTTATAATTGTAAACAAAAGGTTCAAGCAGCAATAATACACTTCTTGAACTACAGGATATTCACGACAACCTTTTAGTTATTTTAATTTTAACGTATCCCAAACCGAGATCATGTGAACATCCCCTACTAAGATGTTCGGGTTCTTGGTAGATGGTCCTATGGTTGTTTTAGTTATTTAAGTGCTGTCAAGGTAGCCATCTGACACAACTTATCATGCAAGAGTACCACCAGTTAATGTGACTAAGTACTGCCTTTTAGTGTTAATATTATCATTTTGAAGGTTGTATGAATCTCCTGTGAAACCAGCAACTCCTGTACAGAAGTCAGTGAACTCCATGAAGTGGTCTAAATCATTGAGTGTTGATGGATTAGATGATGTTAGAGGAAACTTAATTGATAAACTTGATGATATTGAAACGCAGCAAGGTGAGCATAGATGGATTTTCATATTTTTTACTGGGGTGGTGCCAGAAATTTTAGGGGGGTGAGCCGTGAGCAGGTGACTGAAGCAACACAAAGTGTCACCAAACCCCAGTACGGTCTATATTCTAGGGGTGGAGCACTAGAGCCGCGAGGGGGAGTCTAGAGAGCAGAAAACAAAGTATCCCCAGGTCGAAAAATTTGAAAAAAATCATGATTTCTAGTAGCTTCGTAAAAAAGTTTTTTGAAGAGTGTCATATCAATGGATTTGGCATGTCCGATTGTCTGTTGAGACTTGAGAGAGTTAAAGTTAAATGAACCTGTAAAAGTGTAAACCCAATAGGCCAATACACAATATGCTTTAATTTACTTTTATAAAGTCATTAACATTGTACGTGTCGTTTGAATCCGAGTACAATTTATGATGCAACTCTGATGTAAATAATATTCGGGGCGTAAAGATCAAATCTAGGCAAGTCTATTTCCTAAAAGAATTAAAAACTAAAAATAATGTTCGTAAAAATTCCAAACGTTCTTTGCAAGCAAGCTATTTCCATGACAAGGCACTACAAATTCTATTCAGGGGAGATAATAACTTTACAATTGCTCCAATAAACCAGTGAATGCAAGCGAGGAGCGATTAGTTTCAGAGTGTTGCACTGTCTTTTTTTATATGAGTGTACTCCTACGTTTATTTTGTACCATCAACACTCTGCACGTTGGAGTGGACTATTTAATTATTTTTTATTATGCCGAATATTGGGGGGGGGGGTTGAAAATATTTTTGGAGGGGTGAACATTTTGTTTGAGGGGGTTATAGCTAATATTGGAGGGGTAGCACCCCCCCCCCCCCAACACAAAATCCATCTATGAAGGTGAGTACAGTTACAGTTATAAGCAATATATGCAACTACCTGAAAACAGTGTCTCCACGGTCCTTGAAAATCCTGGGAAGTCCTTGAATTTGTTAAAAAAAGATCCAGGCCTGGAAAGTCCTTGGAAACTGATAAGGTCCTTGAAAGTCCTGGAATTTTTTTTCAGTAGGCTGGAAATAATTGAAGAATTATTACCAGCCCAAGGATTATTGCCCAAATGTTTATTTTCTCCAATTTCAATTAAAATTATGTATAACAATTGTCCAAAAGTTGTGTTGCGAAGCGGGTATTCAACGGTCAGTCGGTCACATAATTTGATATTTGTTCACATTATGATTATGTGTAAACTAAAAAGGTGGTTACGTGAAGTAGATAAAGTTAATTTCGTTCGAGGTCTATTTTCTCAGCGCGATCAGTGTTGCAATGGTAGCCAGGTTTCCGATTCCTCTCCTTAAGTTTAAGGATAAAAGTTAGATGATTTTCAAAGATTTTTCCAGTTGCCAGGTCCTTGAATATACTGAAAAAGGTCCTTGAAAGTCCTGGAAAAGTCCTTGAATTTCATCTTCACTAAAAGATGGGGGCCCTGTGAAAAATACAAGGAGAACAGGGGCGTTGCTAGCCCTATTTCAATGGAGGGGTGTACTGTAAGTGCAATTTTGCCGACTCATCTCAACCACTAATTAATATTTATTTTCCCAAAAATATTGGCAAGCAGGGGGGGGGGGATTTTTCCCGGACATTATGTTTTCTTTTTCTTTCTGGTAAATGTACTGTCATTCAGTCATTTTTCCATTATTTTTCCATAAATTTTCAAAAAATGTTTCCTATAAATATTAGTTTTTAATCAGTGTAACTCATATATTTGAGTCTTTTTCCTTCCTACAGTATCCAATTCACGTTTTGCCAACTATGAAAAGAATTTCCCGACCAGGGCGCAAAATAACGGCCCGCCAACGGACAATGTCCGGCCAAAACGAGCAGTGTCCGGCCAAACTTTCACATGACAGGTCATTTTGGCCCGCCACTTTTTAAAGTATAAATAACAGAAATCGGCATCAAAACTTTGTAATACTACTGGAAAAGGTTGTATTTAGGGGGACAGGCTTTAGTTTAGCTGAATAGTTTGACCGTCCAAAAATGCAGGATCTCCGATCCTGTTAATGCACGCCCTGCTGACTGGGATTAAATTATTTGCCGAATGTCTGGCGATTGGGGGTTTATTAGTTTCACTCCTGATTACATTTCAGATTCAGCACAGAATGTCTAAATGTTTTTCGTGACATTCGCAAATTGCTACCTAAAAAGGAGTATTTCAAAAACAACGATCGTCTACGACCATACCACTAGGAAAATATAAATAAAAACGTCATTAATCATAATTGTCATTGTGCAATTTCACACGCTTAAATTGTGAGCATGTGACATAATTTGGGTCGCTTTTAGAAAAGGGTTGAAAATCGACAACTATGTTTTGAATTTTATTTTGTATGTTTTATTTATATTAAAGCTGTTAAATTGTACTAGTATACGACATTATTTACAGAAAACACCAGTCTCATCTGATCATCGAACTTTTGCTTGGCCCATGATTGGTCAGAGAAAAAATTCACCGTAAAAAAGTTGGATCAGTTCCTACTATTTTACTTGCGCTTCCCTTCACGCGAACAAATTCGCCTAGTGGAAGACAGGCTTATGGTGCTACGCTAATATTTTACTTCGTGCTACATTTCAAAATGGACGAAATTCAATGTACCATGTAAGAAAGATACATTTTTTATTCAAGCTTTTTGTGGCATTTCACTCAAATGAATAATATTTGATGGGTATTGTAGATGGAAATTGTCGAGTGGAAATTTATATACATTTACTAGACCTAACCAGGATTCGAGTGAGATGCCACAAAAATCTTGATATTTACCCATAACCTACAGTATACATGGCAGTACCGTAGTATATATACATGAACTTGTGGTTAGAGCTTGACAACTGGCCTCTGTAGCTCAGTTGGTTAGACGAGCGCTGCACCGGAATCACAGAGTTGCAAGTTGCATTTTTCACTTCTGTTCCTGGTTAGGTCCATAGATGTCTTATATACAGTACACTAAATAGTGCATCTAATTATTCTACAATGCAAAAATTGAAGCCGTGATTGCAGACTCAGGATATTCCCATGAAATGAGAAGATTTGTATGTTTTCTATTTCTTAAACACGGAACTTAAATATTAAGTTAAACCTATTCCAAATACATTTTTAAACTATTCAAATGATGAAAGTTATTAGTTGTTTTTTAAGCGTTTATTAGCGAGTGGGAAACACCAACGTGGCCGCCATCTATTCAAATGGGAGTAACCGCTGGAATATTCTTGGCTTCAATTTTACTAAAAGAGATGCGCTATCTAGTCTATATAAGATATCTATGGTTAGGTCTAATAAATGTATATAAAGCCCCATTTACACTACGCTCAATTTTTCGTACGGCACGGATAAAATTGGTACCCGTACCACTTTTTGGTTCTTGGACTACCAAGAACCAAAAAGTGGTACGGTACCAAAAATTGAGCGTAGTGTAAACGGGGCTTAGCTAAATCGGTAGTCCAAGTCTCCAAGAACCAAAAAAGTGGTACGGGTACCAATTTTATCCGTGCCGTACCAAAAATTGAGCGTAGTGTAAACGGGGCTTAAATTTCCGCTCAACAATTTCAATCTACAATACCCAACAAATGTTATTCATTCGAGTGAAATGCCACAAAAATCTTGATATTTACCCATAGCCAATACATAGCAGTACCCTAGTATACAGCTAATTCAAAAAAGGTTGCCTTTGCAAACCTTAAACTCTAAACCTTAAACTTAAACTCTAAGCGTGCATAATGGGAGCATCATTTAATCAGTTTATAAATCATATATGGGGCCCATTTCTTCGAGACATGGTAAATATCTCCTTATGAGGACAATTCATTCACAAAAGATGCAATATTCGACTATTAAGCTTGAAACTTGTGCTCCCACTAAACTTTGCGCGCTTAGAGTTCAAGGTTTAAGGTTTAGAGTTTAAGGTTTGCAAAGGACAACCTTTTTTGAATTAGCTGTATATACATGAACTTGTGGTTAGAGCTTGACAACTGGCCTTTGTAGCTCTGTTGGTTACAGCACTGTACCAGAATCGCAGGGCTGCAGGTTCAATTCTTGCCAGGGACCTAGTTTCGCTTCTAATAAATGTATATAAATTTCCCCTCGACAATTTCCATCTACAATACCCATCAAATATTATTCATTTGAGTGAAATGCTACTGCAATATATATGTTATGATTATTAATTAAATAATAATTTTCTTTAGAAATATCCAAGGTGAGAGTAATACAGAGCCAGCAAGGTAGAGTTCCATTAATGAGTGCACAAAAGAATTCCTTATTTTTCCAACCAACAAGTAAAACACTCGCTTCACAAAGAAATGGAGATTCTCCTGGACAAATCAGTCAAAGTGAGTTGCCTTTTGTAGAATTTGTAGACCAAAAGCTGACCGGAAATAATCAACGCTAAAAAGTTAAATAATTTAAGAACTTTAAGGCAATAAAAAAGAATTTGCCTTGCTTATGGCAAATTTTAGTTCTGCAGCATGTGAAGTTTATGACTGAGTAACTGTGAATGTGTAACCATAGTCAATAGAAATAAAAATGTTAGGAAACTCAATGCAGACATAATAGACCTCGTTATCTATAAAAGAAATGGTTGGTTCATCGTCACATATGTATTGTCTTTTCGCCCAACCAACCAATAATAGCAGTGAATAATAGCAGTGTGTTGGTTAAAAATTACCCAGTTATGATGAACACAATGGTCAGATGAAAACGTAACTTAGTAGCTATTGGTTGCTCTGGTGAAAATACGATGCACATGTGACGATGAACCGACCATTTTTTGCATAAACCTTTTGTAATGAGGTCTATTATGTTTGCATCAAGTACTGTAGATACAAGACTAACAGTAAGAATTACAGTACAGTAACAATGAGTGAGAATAAGTAGTAAAATTAAGATTAAGTTTAAGTTAAGATGTTTTAGGGTCAACCAATTTTATCGACATTCTTTACCCATTTTGATTTTTAGGTTGTACCAAAATGCCCAATTTTTAAGTACTGTTACAGCATTGTTTCTTTATGCCATTTATTATACAGCAGATATGGTCTACATTCGGTATTTTCCTTGTAGATGCAATAACTGATGAGTATATATATGATAATAATCAACTTGATAGCAGTGCTTATGGTAGTATGGATGAAATGGATGATATGCCACAAGGTTTGTACAGTAGATATTGTACAGTATCACAGAATGTATAGATTAAGTTCTTTGTATAGTGATTGACTGATTGTGCAACAATCGGAAATTACCGATTATTCATGCATGGCACAATCTGCCAGTACCGATGCCGATTTTGTAATGACGTCATAAGATCAGTCGACCGATTAAGGTGACGTCTTTCGTGTCGATTTTTAACGATAATTTCCAACGTAACATGTTACTGCAACCAAAGATTGTTAAAACCGTTAATAAATGGGAAGCGTGACGCATTAATTTAACATATTGCGTTAAATCGCAACGTGTGTCAACGTGCAATGCATATAATTTTTGAAGTGTGCATTTTCTCAACAATCGGTTTTCGACAATCGGAAATATAGAAATATAAAATTCTATCGATTCCGATTGTCTACCGATAGGGCAAAAATCGGCTCGATACCGATAACGATTATCGGTTAGTCACTATCTTTGTACGCTTGCATGGCAAGAAATATAACTTGTTTTGGTTTGTGAAAAACACGACGTAGATTTATTCTTGCAATAATATATGCAATAATATACGTGGTGTTTTAATAATATGTACACTACCAATATGCAATAGATGCAATATACTGTAATATACTTGCGTTAACATATCCGATAATAATATACTGTATATACTCCGAGCACCGTAGTACACCCTTCCGGCAAGCAGGTCACTTTGGCTATCGAGCCTCGTTTTTGTGATTGAGTCACAAACTAGTGTCACATACACGAAAACGAGGCTTTGTGGCCAAAATGTACTTCCTTTCCGAAAGGTGTACTGGGGGGACCTGTGGTGGTTTCCCTATAGCCCGTATATATATATATATATATATATATATATAATATATATATATATATATATATATATATATATATATATATATATATATATATATATATATATATATATATATATATATATATATATATATATATATATGTAATATATATATAATTATAATATAAAAAAACTTCAACGCGCTATTGTACGTGACTATTTTCTTAATATGCGTCGCACTGTGCCTAATTAAAGCAGTGCATAACAAAAGAAAAAGCAATTAATCACGAACTTGGTATAGCTTTATTTCATTCTAAATACTATATAGCTAAGATTTATTCCTACTTGAATAATTATGAATATGTGCGCAGTTAATTTATTGAAGTGAAATTCATCATCTTCGGTCCTAAATGGGGTTAATTTCCAATGGTTTTAGATCCAATTCTCAACGGTAAAAATATGCGATTCTGACTAACATCGGATTCGTATTTGCTGATTTGTTATCCATTTGGCATGACGAACATATCATTCAACAGCTAAAAGCCTGATCTTTCCGAATATGAAAAAATCATGTTCATACGCAGAGTAATTCAGATGCAATAGCGCGCTGAAATTTGATTACCTTTTTTTATACACCCTGATATAGTTATGTTACTATTGGTGTTATTTGTTGAATTTTACTTATCATAATAAATAGTATGACGGTTGCGGCATGGGGTTGAAGTGCTCACAATGGGCCTTCAGGCCCATATAGACTCGGATTATTTAATGTAAATGTACTCAGTCAAACCACTAAGAAGATTATCATGCACACTTTAGTTCGGTTTAATGTCGGAGGGGATTATCACCCTTCTGACATGGCCCAATCAGTTGACATGGCCTTACTCGGGGATTATCACCCCAATACAACTCGGAAGTATGGGGGAATCGGGGACATACGTGAAGAATGATTTCAACAATTGGGATAAATCACCAATTGAAATTAAAAACTTCATCTTAAATTCTGTAAAATTTATCTCGCTATCAGTAGGAAAGCAAGTAACATTGCTTCCAGAGCTGAGCTTGGAAAACTCCCTCTCACATCATTGAACGTGTTCAAAAAGGTCTTCAAATTCATCACTCAATTTAACTCACTTCCCCAAACAGCCATTGCGAAGCAAACTTTTCTAATCTCGAAAAATCTGCACTCCAAGCAGAAAATGTCTTTTTACGGAAATGCAATCGGATACTAGCTATTAAAAATTTAAATCTATATATAAATGAAGAAATCCTTAATTTAGAAGCCGTAACGACTGAACATATTAAAACTATTACCAAAACCCTTGAGGAAAAATACTTAACATTTTGGAAACATAAACTCAAAAATTCATCCAAACTGACTTTCTTATACTCAACATTCAAAACGGACCACAACCTCGGAAAACTACTTAGTTGTTGTAGGAGGTCCGTACAAAAGAAAATGTCTTTCAAGATTTAGAGTCAGCAACCATAACCTCCAAATTGAGATCAGGAGCTATCAAAATATACCCCGTGAAGAACGCTTATGTAAAATCTGCAATTCAGGAGAGGTGGAAAATGAACCACCGACTTCAATACCTTGAAACCAGGAATGCAGATTAGCAAAGGTTGTAATAGCCACCTTATTTGTAAATAGTATACTTGTCTTCTTTCTTTCCTCTTAATTCTTCTTAATATTGCATGTATTAGTCTATTATAAATCATTCCACAAATAGTAATCTGTAATAGTCCTAGTTTATCATAATTTCTCCTATATATTGTTTGTAATGCTTTAGCAATACTGTAAATTTATGGTCATGCTGATAAAGCAGCTATTAATTACCTAACCCTAGGGCATTCTGTCTCTCCTAGCGGGTCTCTCCTGTCGTGTATATTATTTGCATTCCGAGTTTCAGCAAAAAGCAATTGAACCATTAATGCTGATTTTTAACCATGAGTGCGTCGATTAGGAGTTTTATTTCGAGGATCAACTTAATTTGGGGGAACAAATGGAGTTACAACTTTGCAGCCACTTTCATGGCGACGCCACTGCTTGTATATGTTATTGGCTCTGACTTGCAGGCATTATCAAATATCTAAAGCTATCGTAGTTTCATGTATCTATACCTAAAGCTATAGAAATCTTCATTCTCAACAAGCGTTATTGATATAGAATATAGAGATATAAACTCAATGTCTAACCCATGCACGCAAACATGCTAAATCCAATCGTGCATTGTTTGAACGCGCAGAAGCTCATGTTTGCAACTCTAAACATTTGAACGGCCCATTGTTAGAATTTTGTCAGTCTCCTTTTGTCAGTAAAACCTTGTGCGATTTTTTCGCCGCCTCATCCATTCCTGACCCCCTCCTCCCCCTCCAACATTTCCGAGAACATTTTTACGTCCCCTTTTCATTATCCAAAATTGCCCCTGGAAGTCGATGCCCCCCGATCTTTTGATGTTTCCTAGAGGCTGCTCCATTTATAGTTCTAGAACATTTGGAACACTGTTCTGAAACGATACGAAATGGAGTGCACACGGGTTCTGGAACAGTGTTAAGTTTATTATATATGCGTGCAACCGTGCATTATATGCTGTTATTTGTATATCTATTTAAGTATGCTTTGGGAACTTTTTTGCAACGTCCGTTCATTTTTCCCAACCCAGCATTCAAATAGCGTATATTAAGTATATGTCGATATATAGCGGTTAACCCTTCAAAATAACACTCTATGCAGTGTGCATTGGATACACAAAATCTGTCGCCTCCATTTTCATTCACACGAACATTTTCATGTGACGTGTTTTGTTCTAGCTGCCCCTACTTTGAAGTCGGGGCAGCCAGACAGTTCAGAACAGTCATATGATCGTGTTCTGTTCCATGCCATTAGTGTTCCCAAAATCCAGAGTACTCCGAACAGTAAATGGAGCAGTCTCATAGGCCCTGGGTTTTGCGATGGGTGGAAGCGAGCCTTTACATACGTTTCCGTTGACAGTTCAAGAGTGCCTCAAAGACGGCCATATAAAATACCATTTTAGTCCGCGACAGTCGACATTGTTAAAACGTAAAATATAAGCTACAAAGTTGTGAACTCATATGTATACTGTTGAATTTTAAAAAATTAGGGTTGTAGTGAAAACTCGTTCACGTGTTTGAAAATTCTTAGCGGGCAACGAAAATTCCTCGCGCGGGTCGCGAAAACGCCGTCTGATTTACATAAATCATGTTTTTTGAACTGTACTAACTGTAAGGAGTCACCTTAAGTTGCGTTGTTTACTGCGAGTGATCTTTTGAAACTGAGTCTAGTTGGCGGTGTATATGTATCTTACTAAAGTTACAACATGAGCTCGACCTTTGAATTTACTATATGAGCAAATTGTTAAAAACACGTCCGAAATTATCAGTACAATAACTTCGCGACACATGTTGAGCCAGGGCTAACTCTAATGTTATCTTAATCTAAACTTGATGACTTTTTTTAATAATCGAGGTCGAGCTCATGTTGCAGCGTTAATATATGCATGCATATCAATATATTTTAATTTCTTATTTTTAATCTTAGCAAACATGTTATCACAAAAAGCTCAGTGTATTACACAAAGCAGTCAACCAAAGTGGTGGCAAAAAAATTTAGAACGACTTGCACAAAAACGGGCTTTTGGCTGGCACGCCGGATACGGTGTAGGTAAGTATAAATTAAACACGGTTCTGTTTGAATATCAGATAAGAGACTTGGTATATGTTATACCAGAAATCAGTATAGATACACTGTAGAAATTAAAATCAGTACCTGAAAAGTACAATTAAAACTCAACGTTTCGAGCGAAGACCCTTCGTCGGGAAGTTACTAACACGTATAACCTTTGAATATTTACAAGAGCGTAGAAATTAAACATTGCATTGGCGGCGAACTATTTTTTTCCCTTTTTATAACACGTTGAAAACACATGGTATTTCATGGCTGGTGTACAATATGCATGATTACAGTAAGAAGGATTTTTGTAGATGGAAATTTCGAGCGGAAGATTATGTACAATTTTAGAGCAAGCACATTAGAATGCTGATTTCAGCCAACCAATCACATTTAATCATAGGGGATTCAAACAACCAATCGATTTTAAGAAAAATGTGATATGGCAAATGAGAAAAAAAAAATTTACATGATTAACATTCTTGACTGTCTGGCAATTTTTTGCACATAAAAACAAAAAAAATATGGATAGCTACAGTAAACTATCA